TGGGATCAATATAAAACCCATTAATCACTACGAGGCGCGTGTCATGGTAACAGATGTTCCCACACTTAACGCGGGCTTTGTGGTTAACCACTTAGCTCTTTCGATTAAACGCGGAACCCCTGCTGTGATCGGGTCGGCGAACAACGCATAAACCCACGAGGCGTGACCAAATTTAATTAGGTAGGCCATCATTTGATGGCCCGTGGGTGGAATCAATATAAAGCCCATTAAAAACCGCTCAGCGTGTGTCAACAAAGGATCGCGGCTCGATAAGTAACACAGCTGTCGCCTGATCGTTATCTTTAATGAATGTTCTATTTTTGTAACGTTCATTGTGTTGGAGAATTTAACCTGTTATTTGTACACGTTAGTGTTAGTCTTTTATTTAAAACATACATACATTCAAATAAACAGTGTCTTTTATTTCAAAAACCAGACATCAAAGAAAAGAAATATATTAAATAAACAAATAAACAAAGTAATTAAAATCAAAGAAATAAAATGAATTTCAAACTAATTATAAAATAAAATTAAAAATAAACAAAATAAAAATAATTAAAATCACATTACGTAACTATTGAATAAAAATTACACAATATAAACAAATAAACAACAAGTAAACAAACAAAGTAAACAATTTAAAATCAAACAAATAATCAAATTACGTAACTCGTTAATAAAAATTAATTAAAATTACAAAATTAAATTCAAACTCATTAAAATCCAATTACGTAACTAGGTCAATAAAAATTAATTAAAAAGTAAACAAATAATCAAATTACGTAACTAGTCAATAAAAATTAATTAAAAATTTAAAAAACTCATTAAAACTCATTAAAAAACGCATTAAAATTACGTCACAAGGTCAATGATTACGTCATAATGTCACTGATTACGTCACAAGGTCACCAAAAGGTGACCCACCCTCCGCTCCTCCGCCACCCTAGGGTGGGGGAGTATTTTACTATATGTCTTTGCGCCTTCACCCTTCGCTCCTCACCCAGTCTCTGCGCCAGGCTCACCCAGGCTGGGAGTATTTTACTATATCTCATTGTCCCTGCAGCTCCTCCGCCAACCCCAGTTGGCGTAGTATTTTACTATATGTCTTTGCGCCTTCACCCTTCGCTCCTCACCCTGCGATGCGCCAGGCTGGGAGTATTTTACTATATGTCTTTGCGCCTTCACCCTTCCCTGCTCCCGAGTATTTTGCTATATGTCATTGTTCCTCACCCTTCCCTCCTCCGCCAAGAATACGACCCAAAAGCGACCTAATATACTACTCACAAGATCATAAAAAGCAAACAAATAACTAATTATTTTGAAAGAAAAAGTCTACTTTATAAAAAGTTACTTTTTTTCTCAAGGGTGGAGTCCTTTTCATTCACCAAAAACAGTTTAACATTAAGATCACCATCCGTCTAATTTTAATACTATCATCATGTAGGCCTATCCTTTTCTATAACACCTAACACCAACACACCATCTCAACGACAGCAACACGGAATCCGCCCATTTCCAAGATAAATCAACTTATGATATTTATCCCGGGTGATCTAGTAGAGGTCTAGAATGCTGAAAGTCTATTGCGGGACGGCCGGACTTGAGTTCGGATCCCGGGCTCGAGTCTGTAGTACGTCACGGAGTCCACCCAGCCCGAATGAGTACCTGATTCATGTTAAGGGAGACCAGTGGGCATAAAGCTGACCACATAATGACATATCCTCTTGCATGCCGAGGTCAGTGAAATAGTTGAATTCTAGTTCATCTGCCCCATGAGTCTTTGGCATGAACGGGAAAATATGATGATGAAAGGTACACTGAGAAGGGACAGTAGAGTCTGGTTTTATCAGAGTTTCTTCCAGGCATCTCTTTGGGGGGAGGGGGTATAGAAAAACATATACTCTACCCCCCCCCCTCCTCCCGAGAAAAATGTCTGGAAAAAACACTGGGTTTTATAAACAACAGCAGCAAAAAAGGAATAAACGGCAAGAAATATTTCTATATAATATCTATCGGGCTTAGCTGGCGGAAGCCTTAATAACCGAAACAGTATCTGTTGCTAATTAAACATTTTCCACTCTCTCGTGGTGTGTGTAGTGTATACATGTGTATGTATATTTTTAGGTATAAGTATATATATAATATATTTAGATTTATATATACACAATTTTCTGCATATGAAGGCACCTGCTTTTATGTGGATATATATGTAAATATAAGAATATATTATATATATATATATATATATATATATATATATATATATATATATATATATATATATATATCTTACATATATTTATTAGTTTTAACACACCCTACGACACCTATTTAAAAAGCTGAAGTTTCCATTATACATTTCTGAAACTTTTAGCACAAATGTTGAAACTGAAGGTTTTATAGAACTTTACAATTATGATTTGTAATGTAAATTTAAACTGCAATGAAGCTTTTCAAGAACAATGCCAGATCACTTATTGAGTGCATACATCTCTAATAGAACAGTACATTTATATCTGCCTTTTTCAACTACAGCACATTAAAAAGTTGTAATTGTGTGGACTGTAGCAAATAAAATTTCATGAAATTGTTAAATTTCGTTTTTGTTGATTCAGCTGTATCTGTTATGGTTATAGGCCTACAACTATCAGTTTCTTCCAGACTTTTTTCTCAGGAGGCACTTGAAATTTTCGGGGGGGGGGGGGGCGGGGCGGTAGACTTTCTTCGGGGGGGGGGGGGCGGACTCTGTTAAAAGTATATATTTTCTATATAAATTATATAAATTTCATTTCGTTCGGGGGGGGGGGGCGGTAAAAATTTTTCGGGTGGCAAAGCCCCCCCCCCCCCCCCCCCCGAAGAGATGCCTGGAAGAAACTCTGACAACTATAACTACGTACCTACTGATTGACCACAAAAAGTAACAAACACCAGCTCTTACACTGACCCTTACTTCAGAAATATGACACTGACCCTTACTTCAGAAATGTGACTAGACTAAAATAATAATTGAAGTTGAAGTGACAATTTTACTCTTTCATTACAATGTTAAACAACATGAGATGTAAAAAAAACTTTTTATTGCAAGATTTAAAAAATACAGAGTAAATAAACTTTCTTGAATCATAGAATAACCACGCAAGCTTTAATGAACCTATGTGATGTATTACACCAGGAACAGTAAACTATATTACAATTACAGGTCAACTAGAGAACAAGAAAGTAAATTTAAAAAATCTAAAATACAACTTAGTCATACAATACATTTATTGCAGTTTTTAACAAACGGATATTTAACTAGAAATAAACAGACCAAATACTTCTAAATGCAATGGGGATTGATTACATGTGTTACGTTTTTTCCTTCATTCTCTCATCAGGGTTACAATAGAAAGGAGAGTAAAAATATCCCTTACTACCAGAGTTGTTTTGTGCTTATTTTCTGTGTTCCTAAAGATCCCTTTCCTTTAATAATAGGCTGTGGGTAAAATGAGACATAACCAATGAAGTAAGGGTAAATAGCGAGACAAGAAGAAATTTAGTTATCTTTATCTTGGTTATTTGTGAGAAAAGTGTTACAAATAAAATAAATACAGTGACCCATTCATATCTTAATGTCTGAAAAATGTTGGCAATAATATAAGATTCCATTTATCTCACTTCCTAACCTATTGTGACTATTTTAGAAATCTACATTGAGGTTAAATTAAAGTGAAAAGTAAAATATTTTATTCACACAATAGGCCTAGTAAAATTTAAAAAATGACAATTTTTGAAAAAAAAAAAAAATCCAAAATTTAAATACAAAGGTATTTACAACAATACTACATTATTTATACATTCCTGGTAATACCACTTTCCTCAAAGGAAAAACCAAATCAATTCATAATCTTTTCCATCTTTACACAACTTTTTGTTTAGCTGTTTACACCACACCCACCATCAGTAACTCTAGACAGTGATCTCATACATGCCATACACATCTGTCTGGTAGTTTCTCTAGGTGATACACTTCAGACAAGACAACAAAAGACGTATAACACAGTACAATGAACTTGTTTATACTAAAGATAATAAATAATAATAATAAACGTTAAATAGAGAAAAGGGACGGCGTGACCTAGCTGTAGAGAGCTAGACTGCTAATCCGAGGGTCTCAAGTTTGAAAATGGGTTCAAATCGGTGGAACATCCCTGAGTCCACCCTGCTCTGATGGGTACCTAACTTATGTTAGGGAAACAAAGGCGGCTGTTGCATTTTCAATGAGTTTCTTGACTAATATTTTCAAGGGGTTTTTATCCAATTCCTCCATTATCTGTGTAGAGCAGGGGTCTCCAAACTTTTCAGTCCGAGGGCCGCAATTACTATTAAATTTTAGTTCAGGGGCCAGTTTTTCCAGACATGTCTTTGATTTTTCTGGGCAAAGTTCCTCCGCCATCACCAACAAACGTTTTTTTCGTGGACAAAAAGATCTCCGCGGGCCGGATGAGAGGACTTCGCGGGCCTGATGCGGCCCGCGGGCCGTAGTTTGGAGACCCCTGGTGTAGAGTGACAAAACAAGTCTCTTATCTGCTGCTGTCAGCTGAACCTCCATAACAGAACTGTCCAAGCCTGATTCAAGACCATTGAATTGACTAGTACCATTTTCCCAGAGTCCACCCAGTTCTGATGGGTTCCTAACTCATGTTAGGGCAAAAAGGCATTGTGCTGACCACACTATTGCTTACTTAATATGCCCCATGTGTATTGGGCACAAACAGAAAATGATGATAATTTGGTTGGCTAATATTTCTCAAAGGCTTCAATAGGCCAAGACCTGCTAAGCCTAATTTCTGCAATATTAGGTGGAAGTTTTTACTGAAATGATCAGGAAAAAAACAAGCTCCATTTGGAAATATGAGATAAAGTGAGAAAAACAAACTGAATCTCCTGAAGTGAAGACTTGTATCTGAAGCAATGACAAACTAGGTTAGACCTCAGGGTTTTGACCTTGTAGACCAACTTCATCCAGGGTCCTGTAGTAAGTTTCCCATCTGACCAGGGTCCTGTAGAAAGTTTCCCATCTGACCAGGGTCCTGTAGAAAGTTTCCCATCTGACCAGGGTCCTGTAGAAAGTTTCCCATCTGACCAGGGTCCTGTAGAAAGTTTCCCATCTGACCAGGGTCCTGTAGTAAGTTTCCCATCTGACCAGGGTCCTGTAGAAAGTTTCCCATCTGACCAGGGTCCTGTAGTAAGTTTCCCATCTGACCAGGGTCCTGTAGTAAGTTTCCCATCTGACCAGGGTCCTGTAGTAAGTTTCCCATCTGACCAGGGTCCTGTAGTAAGTTACCCATCTGACCAGGGTCCTGTAGTAAGTTTCCCATCTGACCAGGGTCCTGTAGTAAGTTACCCATCTGACCAGGGTCCTGTAGTAAGTTACCCATCTGACCAGGGTCCTGTAGTAAGTTTCCCATCTGACCAGGGTCCTGTAGTAAGTTACCCATCTGACCAGGGTCCTGTAGTAAGTTACCCATCTGACCAGGGTCCTGTAGTAAGTTACCCATCTGACCAGGGTCCTGTAGTAAGTTACCCATCTGACCAGGGTCCTGTAGTAAGTTACCCATCTGACCAGGGTCCTGTAGTAAGTTACCCATCTGACCAGGGTCCTGTAGTAAGTTACCCATCTGACCAGGGTCATGTAGTAAGTTTCCCATCTGACCAGGGTCCTGTAGTAAGTTACCCATCTGACCAGGGTCCTGTAGTAAGTTACCCATCTGACCAGGGTCCTGTAGAAAGTTTCCCATCTGACCAAAGACTTGAGAGATGTGCAATGGTTTCCCTCTCTGACAGGCACATAGATCGCTTATCATAAACTGCTGTAAAATAATGTTACATCAATATTTAATCAGGTTACAACCAAATTTTACATTGTGACATCAATATTTAACAATTTTACTTCATGTAATTTTTTGTTTAATTTAAATAGGTACTTTCAATTTAAAATTAATTCATCCAAAACAAACTTAGAAAAATTAAACAGACCTAGACACAATGAAACTGCTGTTTTGATTAAGTGAGGAGCTATAATAAATTATTTTACCTCAATTAAAACACTGTATCATCAAAGAAGCAAAACAACTGTCAACAAACACTTAACATCAGAAAACAATAACACTAGAGTTTAAGTAGCATAACATTATTTGAAAACTAAAAAAAAATTGTTCCCAGCACTTCAGTAGAGTAAAATATTACCAAACATTACTCAAGAAGGGAACATTTTTTCTTACCTCAACTTTGATACATTAACTGTGATGTCAAATAAATGAGTATTGCCCTTTCACTTCTAGCGGAAGATTACCCAGACTGTATTCAAAGGGTGAACAACACAGTTCAGCTGAATAAAATATGTGTAAATATTTTAAAGAAAATTACAATTCTGAAACAAAACAAAACATCTAGTACACATTTTTTTTTAAATTATGTTTTCAAATTAAACTAAAAGGATAAATAAAATAAAATTCTAGGGCTTGTACTTATAGTTTAGCAAGATATTAATTTTAATATAGGGCTAGGTATTGTCATTTTTTTTTTTACAGAAGTCATTTACATGTTAACTGGAGAGATTTAATTAGACAAATAATGAAAAATGTAAAATTACATGAATAGAATGACAAGTCCGACCAGCTTTATCCACACACTGCACCACTACACTCTTGGACTGTGGCCCTACCATTTAGGGTGGCTTTACACTTCTCCAGAAAAATACATTCAACATCCACAACTGGCAAGTGCATAAAAACACCAGACATTTCCATTCTCTAAAGAGGAAATCTTATGGTCAGCTTCATCATCCATTCTTCCAATGGCACCTCTAGCATTTCATATAGTTCCATCAGTAGTCAGTCTTGTGTGAGTTTATGCAGGTGAATTGGATAGAGCAATTTCTTTTCAAGGGCGACAGGATAGGGCAATTTCTTTTCAAGGGCGACAGGATAGAGCAATTTCTTTTCAAGGGCGACAGGATAGAGCAATTTCTTTTCAAGGGCGACAGGATAGGGCAATTTCTTTTCAAGGGCGACAGGATAGAGCAATTTCTTTTCAAGGGCGACAGGATAGGGCAATTTCTTTTCAAGGGCGACAGGATAGAGCAATTTCTTTTCAAGGGCGACAGGATAGAGCAATTTCTTTTCAAGAGCGACAGGATAGGGCAATTTCTTTTCAAGAGCGTCAAGATAGAGCAATTTCTTTTCAAGAGCGACACAGATAGCATGACTAGGTCCTGTGTGGATATTCTCTAGTCTTGACAATAGCGTCTAAATCTACCACAAGATCACTCACAAGAATATCCAAGGTGGGGGCTCAACCATACAAATCTGATAATATCCAGTGTTGTCTATGTAAACAAGAAACATAATGCATGACGATGAAGAGTCCTAAGACACGCCCTGCTTGAGAGGTGGAACATTTGAAAAGTCACCATTGAAGATGGGGAATGTATTCAAGAAAATCCCTATCATCAGGTGCTAGAAACCACCAATCAAACGCATGCTTTCTTAAAGTTTTGCTCTGAATCATGTTGCCTGCTGATGAACTAACCATGAGATACAGGATTATATACATACTTGATAGCACAAAGATTAGGATCCTGCCACCAAGTACAATCAGCCAAGTAAGTAGCCAATTGCCCAGGACATCCATATCTTAGCAGTGCTCTAGTGTTGGCCAACCTAGTGTCTACTGTAATGTTTCTGTTAGTGTAAGCAGCAGATTCACTGTATTTCAAGTGATCAGATGGACAAAACCCTCATGAATCAATCAATGCGATGATTTGAAACAGTCATTACCATGAATCCAGGGTGAATACATTCATGGATTATCCGAAGCAACTGTTGGCTGTTTTCAAAGAAAACCTTACATGTAATAGTCAGCCAAACCACCAAGTCAAATGCAAGCTTACAAGTATGAAATCCAAAATGACAAGAATTGCACTTATGAAAACTCAATAAAGGGTTATTTAAAAATTCATTAAACCAGCTTTCCAAATGCACGGAGATTGACTGAACACTGGTGAAATGCACACATTTTAAAATTCTTGTGATAACGACTCGCTTATTCTAAGATGTGTGGTAGATGAAGGCGAAAACTGTAGATAAAACTTAGTCTGAATGTGAAGCGACACCTCAATTGCACACATAGCATTCCCCAGTTGAACATTAGCCTGTAACCTTCCTGATGGGAGCATCAAGTTCTGATGGAAGTAATGGAAGGGTTTCAAGATATCTTCATGGTCTGGCAACAATGTCTCAAACCATCCAATTTCTTTGTGTACCTTCATATGCTCTTACAAGTATTCAGTCTGTCCAGTTGAAACCATAAAGGTAAAGATTCTGCTAATAATGATGAGATCAGAGGTCCCCAGTCAACAAGTCTACATAGGAATTATAACTAAATCAACAGAAAGGTTAAAGTTCACAGCATCATCTTCATCATCAATGCAGTAGCTGATGGTATAACAGCACATCTTGTTGGCAGCTGTACTTAATGGCAGCTGCTCTGTTCACAACCCCACCATTGTAAACATCACCTTAACATGAGTCCCATTTGGGAGGCAGTGAGATCTTTCCCCAAACGTATTTTGAGAAAAAGTCTTTGCTAGCTATCAACAGCATAAAACAAAGATTCAACTTTTCCTGACACAATCCTGTACACACTTTCTTCTTTTTTTCCCAATCCGTTTTTTTCTTGAAGCTCAGTCATGTGCTGAATAATGTCTATGATTTCATGTTGCAATAGCTCACATATCTTATGCCAATAGTGTTTTTTCCCCAGCTATTTCAAGGTATTGTTAGCTTTTTCCTTAAACTTAGAATCCAAGAATCCAAATGACAAATTAGAGTCACACCTAAGATGATGCTAAGTCTGCATGCTATGTTAACTTTATGCAAGCCATGTGGGGTGGAGCACATTTGGTGGCATCTAGATTCTCCCTAGTGGGCTATGAAAGCTCTGCCTCTAGTTAAATCTGTGGCAGACGCAGAAGAGCACCCTCAGCAGAAATCCACATGGCTTTCATCACTGTTTAGAAGTATTTATCATCCCTGGAGACTTCTAAAACATCAAATTCAGCAGAAACAGCTTGCTGTAATCAGAAATGCAGGATCATGAATCAAAGTCTGAATCCTATACATGGCAGCCTGGAAGAATAGTGCTGATCAAAAGGAAATAAAACTGACTTAAAAATCTTCAGCCACAATGTAAAAGTATTTCAGCTGAGACAAGAACAAACCCAAAATTTGACCTCTGGGCAACATTCTTGTTTAAGTCCAAAGACTTGAAGCTACACCATATCTTCATTCAGAGATCCATTTGTTAGCTTATACTTGCACCAATTGGTTTGCTGAAAAATTATTGTTAATAAATAAATCATATATATAATATATATTTGTATTGTAATATAAATAAATAATGCACCAAATTTATTTATTTTATATAATAATATTGAATTATTCATCTAGTAAATATAAATTTAAATTTAAGATAAAAATGACTGATTTTCAAATACGTATTTTAAAACTATTACTTCTTGACTAAATCCTCCTTAGAAGATTTCCATGTCTTCACACAATACCAGACATGAACAAGAACATGCATCAGATTACCAGCATATCAAACTACAGTTCCAATTGGTACATGAAGCTTTAACTATGTCCTGTTAGGCTGCCATGATATTTTTGGGGCTGTATCTGACAGTAATATTATTATTAGTTAATTAAAAAAATTCAGACTAACAGATGGAAACTAATACCAGCAAAATAAATGTAGATCAATATTATATTACTGCAAAATGAAAATAGTAAATTCATTGTAAATGAATTAACATGATTTAAATAAATATGCCTACAAGATTTTATAAGATTACATTAAAATCACACATTTCAATACAACTATTTTTTATTATCAAAAATACTTCTCTCAATCTTGGTCAAGTCTCAAGTTGTTCATCAGTCTGTGAAGAACTGGCAAGCCCCATCGAGACTACCAGATACCAAAAATTGGTCTCATGGGAAATTTGCCTAAAAGTAGGGAGTTGACTGGCAAGCATTCTGTTAATGCTGTTTAACCTTCTTCTTCGTAACTTGGCGTAACCCAGTTGAGGGGATAAAAAGGGTTGAGGTCCCCAGCCAAGAAAATGTTGCGACCTGGAGATAGAGGTAACTCCACCTTATCTCACAAGGTTGATAAATGTCAGCAAAAACATGATCTCCTTCCTTGACTGTGTGTCAAAGTTTAGCAGAAGGAGGGATGCTAATCTGATCAGCAAATAGATCCTTGCAGATTAGGGTGGCAATCTCTTGACAAGGTGTAAAGCACTAACTGTACATCTCCTGGAATGTGAAATGCAGCAGTCTAGTCTAAAGCAAGCTTTCCTTCAGCACAAAATATTTAAGACTGATAGCAAAGAGGGCCAAGCACATTGTGACATTGCAATGAAGAATGCGATGATAAGTCTACTAATTTTAAGTAAGCCATAGTAAAAAAAAAATGTAAATAGGAAACAATCACCTCAATTTAGAGACGACTATATCTACTGTCACAGTTACTGTGACTGCATTGCCGTTACCAGATGCAGTTTTCACAAACAGTAGCTTGCTTTGAGTGACAAGACACTCTCTTGTCTTTGTTGCCACTTGTTCAGCTGGATAAAATAAATGTCCTATTGTCTTCTCATTCTGCAATGCCTCCACTACACAAGAGTTGTCTGGCCCTGTCATTTAGATCTAGATTCTAGACTTGCCTTACATTTCCCCTTTAAGGTACAAAATACTTCCACAAGTGCCCAAACTTCAAAAGGTTGAAAAGCATTATGTCACCATAGACATTAGATAGATCTAGATGACATCTGTCACAGATATCCAGTCCTAATTTAATTATATGAAGAAATATGTGTACTGCTGAATAGGCTAAAAGATCATCAATTTTGTCCACATCATCGGCCTGTCACCCACATTAGTGACATTTTGACTTGTTTAGGCAGGGCTTAGCTGGCTTACGGAGCAGAATCGAAATTCTCCATTCTAAATTTCTCAATTCTGCAGTGCTTTTTACTTTTTGATTGACTGCACAACAGCAATGCTACAGTGTAAGGTTTTATGCCAGTCAACCTACCGACACTAGATCTAGCACTACGGTAGCACGCTTTAGGTGTGTACCACAGTGAGCGGCCAACATGATCATGATTCATGCTTTGCTCAAAACTCAAAACATTATGTTCATACTTTTTTCACGAAATGATAAAAGTGTTTCTAAAAATAGAGATCCTCCGTTGTATTTTTACTGTAGGGAGGTGTTGATAATTTGAGCAAGTTCTTCAATATTTGTGAGACTGAGTAAACACAAACTAGTTCACGAATTTTAATTCTGTACTAGACATCTAGATATTAGAATCTACAACCCTGCTAAAACACAAACTTGTCCGTGTTTTGCTATAGATCTACATGCCCGTGAAATAGACTACAATTAGGGGGTCGTCCATAAATGACGTCATACTCGTAGGGGGGAGGGGGATCCGTAATTTTGTGACGGCGTGTGATGAGGGGGGGGGGTGTTCAGATAGTGTGACGTCACACTTTTGCATTATAAAAAAGCAATATTAGAAAACAAACTTTAGCCGTTTTTTCGCGTTTTAGAAAACTGTTTTAATAAATTGTAATATAAGGAATTGATTAAAATACAGAGTTCAGACAAAGTTTTGGAAAAATATCGTATTTTAAGCAAAAGTCAACTGCAATTTTGAGGGGGGGGGGGGGGGGGTTGTAGAGGTGTGACGTCATTTTAGGGGAGGGGGTCTGGCTTTTTGTGACGATGTGTGACGAAGGGGAGGGGGGGTTAAATCGTCAAAAAAAGCGTGACGTCATTTATTGAAGACCCTTTAGATTAAAGTTTTATTATATAAGCCGCAATAATATAAAAGGCAAAAGGGCAAAATAATAAAATAACATTTTGGAATGCCTTCAGTTGGTTATTTCTACAGATTGATTGCTGAAACAATAACATAGCATCACAGTTATCTCGATATTTCAAAACTGATAAAATAAAGTAATTACGAAATAATGTATTTAATAAAATAAGGGCCTACATATTTCAAGTCCTTTATTTGTTCCGTGGCAGGTAACATGGTTGTTAACTTTTTTATATTTCCTAGCGTCGTTGTCAGCTAAAAGTAATGATAATCTTATAAATATGGAGGAAAATGGCCATAAAAACCATTTGTATCGATGGCAAAGGCAATCTAAACCAAAGATCCTTTCAAAATCAAATGTATGTGTTAGCTTTAATCAGCATTTTAGCACAGGCTTATGCATAATTATTTAAAAATACACTAAATAAAATACTTAGACCTACCCTCGACTCTAGCACTCTAGCTAGAATCTAGTCTAGAGATTCTAGATCAAGTAGATCTAATTCTAGCCTAGATCTGGTACTGCCGCTACTTCCTCAGCTACTAAATCTAGATCTAGTAACTAGAGCTAGAATCTAGATATTTACTACTAGATCTACTACTACTAAAAATAACTAAATTAAAATACTAGGCCTAAACTTACACTAGTAGTAGATCTACTTTTTTAAAGTAACTGCTGGACTAAATCTCATTTAATTTCTTTTTTACTAAATTTCAAAATAAAATTAAGACAACTAGGCTGGTGAGTGGTTAAATGCAAAATGGCAAGGCAGTAGTAAAATATTAGAAAACAAATGCCAGATATTACCTGTGGAATTAAATGACAAAACAATCTGCACTTGATTTTAAAAGTAACTATTAAACTAATATCACCCAACGAGAGTCTAAAAATGTCAGCATTAGGGCTGATGCCTACTGTGAAATTCTGTTTATTTTGTCCATTTAAAACATTAGTTTCATTTAGTTTGTAGATAGCTAGATCTAAATATCTTACTATCTTATGAAGTAATTTTTCACAAACATCTGTGCATTTTACCAGACAGTAGCATACCCACCCGTTTGTTGTAAAGTAAGTCAAAAATCTATATATATAATTCTCTTCTGGGAGACGTGTAACAACATCAATTTCATTGTTGTTATTGTGGGTACGTTTAATAAACTCATACGAGCAATAGTCGTAACTTCAAACTATAACTTTATTTACACTTTATACAGTGAAATAATAAATCCACAGTAAATCCATAGTAGAAGATAACTGGTATAAGTACAATCACAATCACGAATCAAAGTGACGTGGTGACATCCTACTTCATATTCACAGCAAGCCACTCCAAGCACCCCCGTTCACCTTTCGCTCTACCTTTTATACGGTCCATTCTCTCCCCTTACGTCCATGAGCGATCTCACAAAAGCGTGCAAAAATACATGACGAGTCGCTCAGACAGTCCTTCCGCTAGCCAGGTACTCTACATTCATGCAACTTCATGTAAAACACAATATAATAAAGATACCTAATAATACAGTCTGTGACAAGACGCTAGAAAACAAGCTGTAAGCGCGCTTCCTACCACCCCACCCCTACATGGTCTGGTGAGCTGTGGTTCATGCTAAATGTTTACATTCGTAGAGCCGGGTTTAGTGACGGCTATTAGGGGCAGATAATTTAGTTTGAAACAATTTTAAACTTAGGGGAGGTAACTAAGAGGATGCTGCTTTCACGGGGGGGGGGGGGGGGGGGGGTGTAGGGGTTGGGGGAAAGGAGGGTGGTGGGTTCTTAATGACCTACTGATAGTGTTTTAAAGCAAATATTTTCAGTGGCAGCATTGGTACTGTCGAATTCACAAATTATGAATTACTGAAAAGTAGAAAATAAAACAACTAAATAGCGGCATATGATATGCCACAGGGCGGCTCGTGTTACATAATTGACAATATCTGCACTCTCCTTGAAATTTACTGCCTAGCCATTTGCATTTTACTCCCACAGATTTTTAGTCCATTTTTGGGTAGATAGAAAAAATACTCTGAATTTAGTTCTGATCTAGGTATTAATCTTATGATTTGTATCCATAGCATGTCAAGTCTTCAAATGATATTGTGGATTGGATAAAGGCAAGTAAAACTAAAGTTACACATGCAAATTGCTTCCCACAGCCAGTCAGTTCTAACTCCATTTTTCAAAAATGATCACAAGGCTGCTTTATTGTTCTTTAATATTTCTACATTAAATACTTGTTGCATATTAATGGTGATTTATATGGCCATATATACTTTGCCATGTTGGATTTAGGACATAATGATGTATAAATTTATAGATAAATTTATACATCGTAATTTTCTAAATCCAAAGATAGTAATAAAAAAATCAAGAATATATTTAGAACATTCTAACTCTGCAGAAGAAATATTTTAGAAATGTGTAAATAATAATTTTAAAAAGTAGAAATGAAGTTAGAACATTCTAACTTTGGGGAAGTCATATGATGGAAACAGAATGTAAGGACAGTAAGGTAAACAGTTGTTTCCTTGGCTAGAGTTTTGTATCACTGTGTGTGGCTGTAAACAATGTAATAAAATTGTGTCAGTGAAGACATAGTTCTTTTCTGATACTTTTCTATTAGCCATACATACTTTTTTCACTAATGATATCATGCACCTCTTCTGGGAACAGGTTTTTTTTAATGGTGATGATTTGCTATGCGGGGGAGGGGACAAAGGGAATTTTATGTTTTTAGCTGTCGAGCGCATGATTACTAAAAGAAAAACCTAAAGGTTGTAGGATGTTCCAGAGCCTACCCAGCTCAAATGAGTACCTGATATTGAACTGACCACACTTTCCCTTGGTATGCATAGTTAAAAAAACTTGTTAGCACTGGTGAGCTGTTTGATATTAAAAAACAGTTCATCATATGTGTTGACAGTTTAGATGACAGGATTTTGCTTTCTTTCCCCCACAATGTTTAAGTTGGGGGATTAGAAATCAGCTAAAATTACTTGGTGTCATTTAAAGATGTACCCTGGCTAGTATTGACAATAAAAATATTTAACCATATACCTTTTCTTAAACATAGATGGAAACATCACTAAACTTCCTAGGTTTAAAGTAAATTTTATCTGGCAATACCATCTTTATGTTGGTATGGCAAATCAACAGAATCTGCCATTTTTATCCTGAATTTGTTTGTTACTGTTTTCATAGAAAGTTGAAGATGCCTCGGATAAAGCAGCAGACGTAGCATTTGGACTTGTTCCCACTGGTAAAAGTAAAGGACGAGCTGTGGCCAAACTTATGACGGAAGAAGTCAGAGACCAGGAATATGCTTATACTGAAGGTATGCTGTGCTGAATGAGAGTCTGTCAAAAATTAAACCTGTAGCCTACAGACTTGCATTGTCATAAATTATAAAACCAGAACTATTATAAAAACAACACATTTTTATTTTCACTACCTAAAATAAAGTTCATTGTCAGGCAGTTTAAATACTAACCCTTTACACTCTCTCAATATGAAAGCATTTAAAGTATCTTTGTGCTTAGATTTCAGTAAAGATTTACATGGTTTTCCATCATAAAAAAATTATCTTTAAAAATAACACAATCTTTTAATTAGGGTGCGTTAAATCATTTATAATAATATGGTTTTTTTAAAGCACAAGAACTTTTGAACCAGTGGATTAATGAGAAAGTGATGTTTGATGTTGACGATGGTTTTGATGACCTGGAAGCCTGGCGTAGAGCTAGGAAAAATAAAGATGACATCATCAATAAACAAAAGGAGGCAAAGGATGACGACTATGATGATTATTCAGTGGAGAGGTTGACCAGGCTGGCACTTGAAGATGACTTCATGATAGATGAGGCAGCTATTTATGAGAGGGTCAAAAGAAATGCTCTTGGAGACTCAGGTAAATCTGATCTAAAACAGCTGTGGTCAAAGGTAATATGTAAATCAAAGGTCAAATTATATAATATTATAATAATATAATATTATATAAGGGCTTGTGTGTTATATTACAGCAGGGGTTCCCAACCTTTCGATTTGTACCCCCCCCCCCCCCCCTCAAACTTTCGATTTGCACCCCCCATCAAACTTTTGATTTGCATCCCCCCCCCTCAAACTTTCAATTTCCATCCCCCTTCAACCTTTCAATAATGTTTATGAAAAAAAAATCTGTCTCTGTCGAATAGTGAGAGGCGGGCACATACGAATCGTTCAGCGGGCGCCATGGCGCCTGCGGGCACACGGTTGGGAACCCCTGTATTACAGGACTTATGTTTAGATTATTTCTTCTGTTTGCTAAAATTATTTTCACAAAAAAATGGACACTATCGACTTTTACTTCCTAGATTTTATCAAGCTTTTGATTTGCTCCCTTTTCTAATTGATATACAACATAAATAGTACACTGTTTTCTGATTTCGGTAAAGAATCTATGCATTTTGAACCACACATTTCTAGTTATAATTTTTAGAACTGTAAAATTTTCTTTAAAGACAGTACAAGTTAGTTATAGTAGATTAAAATAGCAATGAATGAATGACTTACTTTTATAGATCCTTAATCTAACATATAAACATAATGAATGAATGATTCACTTCCAAAGATCCATACGCCAACTTGTACGAGATGGAGGACGATGAGGCTGTACATACAGTGTTAAAAAATATGATGTCTAAAGAAATGGTTAAAGATACATTCAAGTAGGTTTGTGTTAAATTAGATTTTTATTTTACAAGAAGGGTTTTTATTTAAATTTTTTAATCTGCTGCACGCTGACTGTTTTTAACCTGATTTACATAAAGCTTAGTTCTAGAATCTGGAACTCTTTTGTCATCCAAGTAAATGGATTAAGAGGTAGATTATACTTCAAATGGATGAGTTCACTGTTAAATATTTAAATGCTGACATTGCTTCAATAAAATACAATTAAAGAAGATTTTTAGATGTTTAATTGTTGGTTTTTTTTTTCAAATACATTAATAAGCTGTAGTACAAAGCTTTTTTTCTAAAATTGTCCATGAGAATTGAAATTATTAAAATTGTATCATGTATGAATGTTATCAGTGTTGGTGATCTAATGTTTTATATCCTACATGGTATTAAACATTACTAATTCACTGTGAAATATTTAATCTGAGCAAAAGTGCTATAAAAAAAGTGCTGAAAAATCTGAAAAAATGGTGGAATAATTTATTGACAATAATTACATTCCAATGTAAAAAACATGTCAAGTCTGAAGGGGACAGATTAAGTGAGACCGGCCTTGCTTACAATTTTGTATTTAAACTGAGCTGATAAGCTGTTCATTTGTTCCCAACTGACTGTACCCTGCCCTTGAATTACCAGGAGAGATCTTGGCCTAGAGAACACGTCCAAACCTGACCCAAGAACAAAGATGGAACTCCGGCACAAGATGGTGAAGGACAACAGAGAGAGGCGCCACAAGGAGGAGGAGAAGAAAAAGACGGAGGCACAGCTGAAGAAGGAGGCAAGGCTGCAAGCTCAGCAGCTTATACTCAAGGTGGGTGTTTTTATCTTCTGGCAACAGTTTGTAATCAGGGTAGGTGTTTTTAACTTCTAGACATTTTTCAAAAATAATTTTGATAGTTTGTTAGGATCTATTTAGAAAGCATTTAGGAAGTGTATTTTTGTTTCAGAATTTTAAAATTCACTCACAGCAATGAAAAATTATTAAAAAGTGAAGTTTGTTTCTTGAATTATAAGGCAGCCATCTTATGTGGGTCTGGAGTGGATGATAAAAATGATATTGTAATTCAAATGTATAAATATATGAAAAAACATAAAGGGGATAAGGTGTTGCCTTCTATTATTTTTAAATTTATAAAAACTGCATAAAGTAGAACATTCTTTTTTTTAAATTACAAAATGTAAATTATGAAAGAATTGTAATTTTATAATACAAGATATTCAAATAATTTATAAACTATACCTCAATTTAGCCCAATAGACATTAAATATTGCATTTAAAATAATCAAATACTATTTTTCCATTAGGAACAAAAAGATAGAGAGCTGAGGTCAAGAAGAGAAGAAATGGAATTAAAAAAAGAAATGGCCAGAATACGTAAAGAGATGCACGAAGAGAGAAAGAAAAAGGAGGAGGAAATTAAAAGGTGGATTGGATTAAAACATTTGTTTAACATAGAGAGCTATCTTTTTTGTAGAAAAGGCATGTGTTAATACAAAAGGTTTATGTAAAATAACAGGATTGGAAAATGTAAGTGTAACCTGACAATGTACTTAACACACAATGAAACAAAGCTTTAGAAACAGCTACACATGTTTTATCTACAATATTCAGTGAGACATTTTACTTGTAAATATAAATACAGTAAAAAAAAAACTAGCAGTTAGTAGATGGATGGATTGACATGAATGAAAATTTAAAAACATTAAGTGCAAGATTTGTGTGTACAATGGGTTCTTTCAAAAGTAACTAAGAGATATAGACTATAAAAATGGATTAGTTTAAGGTTTCAAGCCATTTATTGAAACTAGCATACGTTTTTTTTTTTCTTTTCTACCTGTGATATTGTAGGCGAAGGGAAGAAGAGGAATTGATGAATAAATTAGCCAGGGAGGAACTAGAGAGACAGAGAGCAGAGGAGGACAAGGAGAAGATTCTCTCCCTGAGGCAAGAGAACGAGAGAAAACACAAGCTGATGATGAGGAAGGAAGCCATTAAATCAAGGATAACCTCCAAAAACCTACAGGTTTAAACTTGATAAAATTTGCTGTACCTCTTATGTTTATACCACTTAGACTAAGCTGGTTTTAAAAAGTACTGAGTTCTGATAATAAATTACTGTTTTAGTATAATACACCAGTAAATTGTGTAGAAGCAGATGATGCATTATGCAAAATTCTCAAGTATTTTTAAAAATATTTTGATAGTATTGTGAAGTTAGCAGTATCCTCCTATCCTTGCACCCCCCCCCCCCCCCCCTTCCCCACAACACCAGACTGAGGATGTAATCTTACCCACCATTAGTTTAAATTTAACCCTAAATCTGCTGCAGTTTATTGAAAAGAAACCTTTACAGGTTAGATGGTCTGTTGGGGCAGGTGCAGTAGAGTTCATCTGCCTCTATGCCTTTTGTGTATTACTGTATAGTGTGGGCAGCATTAAAATCTGCAATAGTTCTTTTCCTTCACTTAAGTCAGGTGACTCACAGAGGCTACTAAATGGTCAGGTGGATCTCATTCATTCACTTGTAGCTATGAACAACTAAAATCATGTTATCTTATTGACTATTGTTATAGTATAAATAGATTATTTCATTTTCATTTATTTGTTTTGTATCTTGTGCTTAAATTTTTGTTTTGTAGTGCCTTCACCGCCATTTCACTGCCTGGTATGACCTAGTTTTGTCCAGACGTCTGCTGATGGGTAAGATCAAAGCCATGTCCGACTGGAAGCTGATGCTAAAGGTGTGGGGGGCCTGGAGGAATCATGTCAAAGGTCGTCGGCTGGACATTGAGACAGAGAGGCATGAGAGGAATTTGATCGACTCACAAAGGTCAGAGGTCGTGGTTGCTTTAGGGTTTTTTGTCTATGATAAGTTTTGCCAGCTTGATATGAGGGACCATTGCTTTATAGAAAGTGGTGGTTGTAAGTTTTTGTAGTCTTGTCTTATGAAGGGATTTTGTAGTCGGCACCAGAACCAGCTGCCTTGAGTTTTCGCCAATCAAGATTGTGAGGACTCGGGATCATCCTTAAGATTTCAGAATGGAATCGAACTGGAGACTCGCAGAATTAGTGTGGTGTAACACTCGACCACATTTCTCTTTAAAAATTAAATGAGCTAGTAATAAAAAAAAAATAGGTTAAAAAAGTTTATTGCTACTGGACATTAGTGTAAAAATCTATTAATCAACAACTTAAGGAGATGTTCCATTTAAGATAAAACTTTAAAATGGATTTATAACATGAGTTATTTCAACTATTTTTTAAAGAGTGATTTCCCTTTAGTCAGTGGTCTAAACACCAATTTCATAATAAAAACAAAAAAAAAAAACAGTTACAATAAACTGTGATACACATTGCAGGAAAGAGCTGACCGCTGAGAGACACTGGACAATGTCCTCCTTGAGGAAATGCTTCACAGCCTGGCAGATTTTCACCCAGGAATCCATTGAGAGGAGAGACCTGGAGAGGGACAAGGAAAAAACAAAAAGTAAGATGATGGCGTTGTTGAACGCAGTTGCTGAGGGCAAGTTTGTGAAGGAGGAGGAAGGTGGGCAGGAGTCGAGCAGGACCAGACAGAATTCTGCTAGATCACAGTCTTCACACCCGGGCAACAACAAAAAAGTAATACTTTCAGTTTTTTTTAGGTAGAACTAACAATTTAGTTTAGTAAATAACCCTTAAAGCGTGTGCCACGTTGCCTTACGCGTTATAAGTTATGTAACTGTAAAGCCACAATCGTGGCTTGGCGTGCTTTCAGGGATAAACATACCCAGAATCCATAATATACTAGAATAGCAGTCTAAGATTGGGTACATTATATTTCTTAAGCTTTATCAAATTATAAATTTTTTCCCTAATGATGAATTGCAATTTCTTTTACTTTTTATTTTCAATCTAAGCACCTTATTATTTACTTTGAAAATTTGTGTTTCTTTTAACTGGCAGTTACCAAAATAGGAACTTTGTTTTAATGTCATGGAACTGTCTTTTCCCTAAGGTTGTATTAAAATAGAATCTATTAGTTATTTGTTTCAGCTCTAATGTGAGGAGTGAATTTTTAGTTCTATTAATTTGAGAATTTTAATTTCTATGGACTGGCATGAAAAGTAACTTTTAATGATTTTAAAGTTCAAATGTATTTAATTACTTTTATTTTCACACTTCTTTTGGGTGTTTCTATTTGATTTCAAGATCTATCTGTTGAATAGTTTATAACAAAATGTAATATTGTGTCCATTGGTGTTGTACCTCTAGCAAAATATTTCAAGAAATAACTGTTAAATAATTTATTACTAAATGTAACAATGTGTCATTTATGTTGTACCTGTAGGAAAATACCTCCCAAGCCCCAGCAAGGAAACAGGCATGGGGGGAAGATCAGAGCTTACACTCATCACGCAGTGAGGCAACAGTTAGCCAAACCAGCTCAGCTGCTAAAAGTGACCGGAGGTACTCAGCCTCCCAGTCTAGCATCAGGTCAGTGCCCGTGGAACCCTGGCAAGTAAACAGACAACATTTGAAGATGCTGAGAAAAGAAAGTTCTAAAACTGACGTTCAGGACATTGAAGTGGAGAGCCTTGATGGAGAGCAGAGAACACACACTGATGCAGAGATTAGGAAAAGGTAAGGGAGGTGACTCTTGTGTTATTTTTTATAGTTACCTCTCCTGGCAAAATTTTAAAATAGTCTATCAAAAGAGATGCACTTGTTTTATAACTAGAAATAATTATATTATTGGCGAAATGTGTGGTTAAAAGGTTATTTCAAAGGTGATAGAGTTAACTCTGCTCATGAAGTCTTGTAACTACTGACATTATGCACATAGACCGCCTAGAAATTGGGGAAACTGTAAATCCATTATGTGAATACTTGCAGTTCTTTTCATTAGATATACAAGCTGGTTACTAAGAAAGGAGTGGAGTTCTGATACTTTTGTTTTAATATACATTTTGATGTATCAGAACATAATGAGATTTTTAATCAATTAAGTTTCTTGGCCCTATTAGATGACAGAATGGGGGTCCATTGGTATGCTAATTGTGGTTTGGTTTATAGGTTTAAGCCTCTAACATGCTTGTGAGTTCACCCAGCTGTAATGAGTACCTGAATTGATTTTTTGGAAAGTAAAAATGGCTTATGATTGTGCTAACCACTCAATCATGTTATATTTTTAGATCAAAGAAGCAAATCAAAATTGATTTAATATTAGGGACTTCTATAAAGGTTACGTTACTTTTTTTTTACTCACTGGCTGTTTCTATTTTTAGATTTGGTACTCAGCCATGGATGAACCGCCATTATGTAGTCAATAACCTTGAGCACCGCTACACCGCCCAGCAGCAGGCATTGAAGGAGCAGCAGAACCAAATTAGGGAGCAACAGCGAATGATAGAACAGCTGCAGTATGAGCAGAGGCAGCAAGCATTGAAGCAACAGCTGTTGAATGGATCAATTGCAACCCCTCTTCCGCCTATGAAAGAAATTGAAGGTCTGTAAAAAAATTATTTAATAATACAATATTTTTTGTTGATGATTTTAGTTGACTCTAAATTAATCATTTATGATGATGTTTTACATTTGTATACACTTAGTGGGTTAAACATTATGGTCTTTGAGAAGTTGAATTTCACAAAATTTTATTTTTAGACTTTATCAGCAACAATCTTAAAACAATGATCTCTTTCAGCATTTTTTAATACTTAATATTTGATATTAAAATTACTTTTTAAAGCATTTTTTGTTTGTTCTATCACATAGTGCCTCCTGCAGGAAAACAAATACCAAGGGGAGATCATGCTGATGAAAACAAAAACAACATTGACATAATCTCACATAGTGCCAAAAATAAAACTGTTGTAAACACTGAAAACAAAGAAGAAAAAGTTCAAACCACTATTGATACAGACAGGTAAAATTTGTGAAAAGAAGGCTTATTTTTTTTAAAGATCATAAAAATATAGACTCTAGGTCCACATGTTTGTTTCATTTCTTATTGACAGATAAATTTCTAGCTGGTAGTTAAAAGCTTATGAAGAATGTTGGTTTCTTTTCAACAATTTCTTTGTCATAAATTTTCATGTTCTGGAGCATATTCATATTATATTATTAATTTTTGTTAAAGAATAAAACAAGGTGTTAATTATTATGGTATATGTAAGAATTATTGGCTTTAACTTGGTTAATAAATCCTAACTTAACTTTAGCATTCTTGTAAAAGATTCAAATTTTTTTGTACCTTATATTTTTAAAGCTTATATCTGTTATGTTTATATTCCTAAAAACTAATCTTGAAATTACTTTAAGGAGCTGTCTAACAACCTCAAGATCAGAAACAACTACAGCATCCAACACAACAAAAACTTCTTCAGTCAATCCACACAATACCAAATACCTTCAAGTGCTTAAAAGTATGTTGTTTATTTACTCTAAGATGTTTTCAAACATTTCATTCTTTTTGGTACATTTAGTACAGCGTGTGTTTGACTATAGGGGAAATGGAATTTGGCCTTGACGATGGTTAAAAAATACAATTATAAATAGCTTTTTAAAATATTTAAATAAATTTGACGACAATTTTAATGCCACCTATTTGGCCCCCACCTGCACCATCCTGCCAGTTAAATTTGGATGATCGGTCAAACAGTTACGTGTCCCCTATTTGGCTATCAAAGGGGAGCAGTAAGTCACAGAAATCATTAAAATTTGTGCCTATATTTTACACTACAGTTTGTGTTATGGATTTTAATGTTTGTGGAAGAGCGCGGTACATGTTCTATTTATAAGTAAACCTGAATCCCCTATTCTATTAATACATTTTAGATATGGAGGAGAGAGCAGCAGAGAGAGCCAGGATTAAAGCAGAGAGGGAGGAAAAGAGAAGGAAACAGGAAGAGGAGAAGCTGGTCTGTATCTAGAAGATAATCTGTCACTGTATGCTTTATATTTAAAAAAATGTTTTAAAAGACAAAAACTTTAAGACTTCAGTTAAACAGTCAACTTTATTTTTAATATAATTTTTACTTTGATTTTAGTCACCAATTTAGTTAAATTTCTTAGTAAAAATGCTTTGTAATATTAATTAGATTCAATTTTGTTTTAGATATTATATCACTGCATTTTACCAAGTTTAGCCAATGTTTATTTAATCAAGACAGTTTTTTACTGCTAAAATTGTTGTTTGGGTTTCAGAACTGTTCAACAAATGTACTTGTTAAAACTGTTAATTACCATAACAATTCTACTACTTTAAGGCACAAATGGAAAAAGAGCAAGCAGAGAAACAGAAAGAAATTGAAGCAGAGAAGCAAGCAAAAGCTGCAGCGTACAGGCAGAAAAAACTTCTAGAGAAACAGGTTGGGAAAGGTTTTATTGTCTCATGGCCAGATGTTAAGCCTTGTCTAGTTCACCAGAGAATTTTTAAATATTTCATCCTTTGTTTGTTCAGTTATTGGAGCACCTGTCTTTTAAATATTTAAATAACAAAGTAAACTTGGCCTAGTCAACTTGGTAAAGCTCATGGTTGCTAAACCGAGTTTGAACTCTCGGGCAGATGAGGCTCAACAGCTAGGGACAGCAACTCTTCTAGGAGAGACAACTCCCAAATCAAACTACTTCTGCCTTGTAGTTTGTTCTTGGTTGGACAAAGGCTATGGAAGCAAACCAAAAAGAAAAGCAGGCTGAAATGGGGGTCAACTGCCTATATTGTGCATGTCCAATTAGCCTACTTATTGTATTGGAGGGAATCCCTTTCAACACTAGAATTAAGAAAATGAAGAAGATGAAGAAGTAAATTGAAAAATGTCCTAAACTAGATAATGATGAATTCAGTGAGCCAAAACTTTATTGATGTTTTTATTTTCTTGATATTTACTTGATTTTACATTATGTTAATGAGGTGGCAGTCACTACAAATTGTATTTTAATTGATTTATTTTATTCCAGAAAGAGGAAGAGAAGCAGAAACAGATGGCCCACATTGAGAAACTGAACAAGATGGCTGATGATCACTATGTCAGATCTATCCTCAAGTACAGAGGGTTACTTCCCTTTAAGAAACTGGTCTCCATGTCAAAGAGAAACTGGGTCAAGGCCATTAAACACCAGGAGAAAGTTTTACTGAGGTTAGTAATTAGTCTTTAAGATAAACTAAACACGTGGGTCTAACTTTTCATCTGTATAGTTGCACACATTTTTTTCCCACTTATACACATAAGAGGAGTGAGTTGTCAACATTTGATGGTTGTTAATCTACATTAGACCTAAATCATGCTTTTACATAGGGGCTAGAACTCAAATTCTGTTAAGCAAGTAGTATTAAAAATATTAAATTTATAGAACATCATCATTCCTGCGTTTTTGGTATTTAAAAAAAAAACATTGGACAGCTAATCTTACTATGTATCAATTTTTTTCTGGAAATTAATTATCTGTGTTCCTAAATAACTATGGTTTCCAAAAATATTTACTGTTTAGAACATATTTGATAATTTTAAGAAAAATTATTTGCTTATTTAAAAAATCGCTTTAGTTATTTGTTTTCTAAAGAACTTTTTAGTTTCCACAGTTTGGTGTTTGATACTTTACGGTAAAAGATTCTAGTCTTAGATAAATATGGAATGGCATTTTGTTTTGACCAGGCAAGTCTTGCATGCCTGGAGAAGGGTCACTGATGAAGAACTGGACAAGAAGAACAGACTGGCCGACCAGATGCACCAGTTCCTGGTCATCAAACACAGTTTTCACAGCTGGAGAAATGTAGGGAAGCTCTTCTGTTTTCAAGTTTATATTTTAGTCTTTTTTTAATTTCCTGTTGTGTTGTCAGACCCTTAGACTTCAATAAAATGCTATCTCTCTCTTTGAGATATCCTCTGGGATACAGATAGCCCACCCCACAACCCTGTCGGCACCCCTGCCCCCAGTCCTTATCCATCCCCCCCCACCCAATGAAATACCTAATGTCAAGTACTACCGATAGTAGTTACCCTCAATCTAAAAACAGCATCTAATATATGTTCTTGTTGTTGGTATAGTGGTAAATGAGCTGGCAGGTATAAATCACAGGTATCCTACTAACTTTTATACTTGTAAACTAAACACCACACTAAATTACACTAAACTTTACCCACCTGTCTAGCAGTACCATGTTATATCACACTAATCTTCACATACCTGTCTGACAGTACCATGTTATATCACACTAATCTTCACATACCTGTCTGACAGTACCATGTTATATCACACTAATCTTCACATACCTGTCTGACAGTACCATGTTATATCACACTAATCTTCACATACCTGTCTGACAGTACCATGTTATATCACACTAATCTTCACATACCTGTCTGACAGTACCATGTTATATCACACTAATCTTCACATACCTGTCTGACAGTACCATGTTATATCACACTAATCTTCACATACCTGTATGACAGTACCATGTTATATCACACTAATCTTCACCCACCTGTCTGACAGTACAAGTACCATGCACAGTTCTTGGAGATAAAAGCTGAACGCCACTACCTGGATAATCTCAAATCCAAATTTTTTCAAGCGTGGACGGAGTGGGTGGTGGCTGAGAGGGAGAACTCATTGAATCAAATGGAGCTCGCCCATGAGCACTATTTACAGTGAGTTTTGCTTGGTTTTGTTTTGATTTTTTTTTTTTTTTGTTTTTTTAGTTTTGTGTGATTTTGTTTGGTTTTTTTTTTTTAAGTTTCAGTAGTTTACTTTCATGTTGTAAGTAAATAATTTCACTGAGCCAGCCTCTTCAAAAACATTTCTGTAAGTCCAGTAAATGTACAGCTGAACTGAGACCACTCAGCTTTGATGGGCGCCTAGCATGAGTTGGAAAAAGAAAATGGTGACATATGGTTTTTGTTATATTTATTGTATCTTTATTTAAGTGCATGAAGTATGTGAAGAGCTGGTGAAGTGAAGGTTAGGTTGATCGCACATCTGCTAACCCAAAACTCCTTAGTTTGGGTTTTGGGCTGGAGTCCTTAAGACATCTTTGAGTCGTCCCAGCTCTAATGGGTACCTGCCTGAAACTTGGGCAAGTAAAAGTGGCCATGGATAAAGTACTGACCACACAATCTCTTCATATGATTGGATCAAAGTAACCATTGAACTTTGTCACATACCCAATGGACCTCTTGAAAGGGTATTTTACTTTGTGTTTAGGACAGTTTAAATAACATTTTATGAACATATACTTGCAGGTACCTGGTGAAGAAATCTTTCAATGGCTGGAGGTACCTGAAAGAGAGACAGAAGAAAGAAGAGGAGAGAAAGAAAAGAAAGCTGGAGCTAAGGAAGAAAGTGGCCGAGCTTATCCCTGACTACACACCTGACAAATCTGTTTCTGTGAAAGGTTCGGAAGATTTTCCCTGACTACACACCTGACAAATCTGTCTCTGTGAAAGGTTCGGAAGATTTTCCCTGACTCTACACCTGACAAGTCTGTCTCTGTGAAATCTTTGGAAGATTTTCCCTGACTACACACCTGATAAGTCTGTCTCTGTGAAATCTTCGGAAGATTTTCCCTGACTCTACACCTGATAAGTCTGTTTCTGTGAAAGGTTCGGAAAATTTCCCTGACCCCTGGAACTGTAACATGATTGATTGTGCCCAGTCATGTATGACTTATTGTGAGAACAAATGTGTTGCAGTCAATGCAAGAATACTTTTATTTTTAAATCTCGGTGATGCAGAGCAGCAGAAGTTCTATAATTAAACTGCGTTATTTCTTCACAGAAATATTTGTTACATTTTAGCATTGTAAAAACATTGTATTTACAATGTTTTTTCTGCTGTAACTGTGGTCAAATTGAAGTTGGATTACAATATCTAGTCAGTTCATAAACTTCAAATTTAAAACCATTCTTGGCCGATTTTCCATTATTTATTATTAAGTATTTCTATTTATTAAATAAATATGTTCCACGTCTATTAGTATAGGCCTACATTACTTTTTGACTTTGAAGTACTTTGTGACTTTGAAGTACTTTGTGACTTTGAAGTACTTTGTGACTTTGAAGTACTTTGTGACTTTGAACTACTTTGTGACTTTGAACTACTTTGTAACTTTGAAGTACTTTGTGACTTTGAAGTACTTTGTGACTTTGAACTACTTTGTGACTTTAAAATACTTTGTGACTTTGAAGTACTTTGTGACTTTAAAGTACTTTGTGACTTTGAAGTACTTTGTGACTTTGAAGTACTTTGTGACTTTAAATAGCCCTTGGTATTGTACTCTGTGATTGGCCACTGAAATGGGCTAAAGTCAGCAGTAATGTAGGAAGGTGGTTTACTTTAAATATTCCCAAGTGTTTCCTTAAACATTCTTGATTTGCCAGCTGTTGTACAGCCTAGTTAAATTTAAGTGCCATTAATTGTGTACATACATATGGTAAATTGAGATAACAAGAGAAAATTAGTTTAACTTATAATGAAGGTAGGCCCTTTTTACTTTGTTAATGTGTGATGAAAAAACAAGTGTAAAATATTTTTAATGTAAAGCTGTTTTTATTTGATCTCATGGTTGTGTCCAAATAATTTTGAGGGATATTTTTTTGTGGATTTGTTAATAAATTTGTTTTACTTATCTTCAAAATTTTTTCTTCATTGATATTACGTTTCAATGTGCACAAAATATCGCGTATATGACTATATGCAAATGTAGGGGGGTGGGGGGAAAAGTCTTAAAGTCTAGATTTTTGTATTACATAATATTAATCCAATTGTTACCTTACTTACACAGACTATTTATTTGAGTTAACCTTGGTACTTTATTCTTATATACACAAATCTCAGACGACACGTCCTGTCCCTGACACTACCTTTCGTTAACTGACTACATGTAGACATCAACCACACATCGCGGAAGACACTGAACATTCAAGGGACGTAACCATGATATATATATATATTTAATAACAAGGAACGTAACACCAAACACAAACTTTTTGAAAAATTGATTACTAAAATACCTAAGAACGGGTTTATAATTTTAAATAGTTAAAATATTACTTGAGCTTTGAACCTAACGGTTTATATAGATTATAGGATAAAGCAAAGGCTGGTGTTTTTTTTTTGTTTTTTTTTGTGTGAAAGCTCCTGATGGATAACGTAGTCAAGAATGTGCCTGTAACTTCAGTGTAACCGCAAACCCCACACCACGACCCAACCAACACCCTTTAGTTTGAGTTAGTGAGTTTTAAGTCACCCAAGGACACCCTGCGGACAGGAGCCTCTTTATCAAATTCGAAATGTTTATGTTTGCAATGGTGTGTAGGCTACTTCCCTTTACACTCGCATAGTTTGGCCTAATGTGTAGGCTCACTATGGTTCCAAAACGTTAACATTCCCTACAGTGGCATCGAAATGTGTTGAAAAATCTGGCGTTCATCTTGACGTAAATGATGAAGTTGACCGAGGCCGACATCTGGTGCAGGATGTCTAGCACCAGCAGGATGCCGCGACTATATCGCCAGGTGATGTGCACATACGTGTGCAGCACAGTCGCCGGCACCAGCAGCGCTACAAACACCACACACACCGTCAACAACAGCTTGACCACTTTCATCTCCTTGGCTGACTTCTGGTGTAGAATACTGGACGACATGTTCTTAAATTTCTGTGACGTCACCAGCAGTTTTAAGATGGTCAATGACGTACACAGCAGGACAACGGTCAGTGGGACGGTCGAGATGAGACATAGTCTGTAGACATCAAACACCACCTGTAAGGTCATGGCACTGGCGAAACTGAGGTAAGAAGATTTTTTATCGGAGATCATTTTGTCGAAGTAATGTCTACTGTACTCGTTATCAAATGAGTTAACAATACCGCAGTAAATAAACAGCAGGATTATAACACACTTCATGCGATATGGGGTATTGAGTTTATGAAGGTACAGCGGTAAAAACACGGCAAATAATCGTTCAACAGAGATTAGAGCTATTATGTGGTAGCTAAAGGTGGAGGAAAATATATTACAATAATCTAACACTTTGAAAAACTCAGTGGTTTGTGTGTTGGAAGGTATCAATTTGTTTTCTCTAAAATACAGCAAGTAACAGTGTTTGGTTAGGTGACCCACTGTAAACAGGAAGTCTAACACGGACAGCGAGCAGAGGAAAATTGCAGTTGTGGAGTTTAACCCTTGTCTGACCAGGACGAAAATTGTGGCGGCGTTGCCGAAAAATCCAAAACCAGCGAGGAGGTAGTAGAGCCCCAATCCCACGTGATACAGCAGGAATATAACTGGCTCAATGGAATGTTCTGGAACCTCTTCCTCCTTGTTGGTAAAATTTCTTAAACCAAGACTTTCAAACAAGCCGAGGTAGTTTTTATCGACGCCAATACCCGCCATCTTGTCTGTCCCGTCAAAAAATCTTTAATTCTCGTGCTGAAATTGTATCCAAATCTAGGCTGTAATGGTAAAAATAAAATAAAAACTAAGACAATTTGGCGTAGTTGTTATCACAGATGCATCGATTTAATGATAATAATAAGATACAATTTGACCCCCTTTAACAACACAAAGTAACAATAATTACATGAGTAGAATTATTTGCAAGCAATAACGAAAACATATCTGCAGCATAGTTAAATGGTTGAGTGGGTGCGGCTTAAAGAGACCTACAATCTATGTGTAGTAACAAAGAAAGCTGTACTAGTGATGTGCATGCAAGCTAATAATGGAAGTTACGTTCATGCAAACTTATATTGGAAGGATTCTTCTTGCCGCCCACCCGTACCTCAGCGTTCCGAATTACAGTTTTTTGTCACTTTCTTGTATACGATGTATAAAATAAGTATTGTATTCGAGCAAAACAAATAATTCAGAATTTATTTATTTTTTGACAAATCTCGATGTTTTACACGTTCTTGTCTTTTCTTGAACGATTTCCAGTAACCGGAAATGGTATTTTATTTCACTTCCGTGTGAACCCGATAAACTTAAGTATCGTTCAGTTCCAACATATTATATAAGTACTAGATCCTGATAACGTAGGTTATTCTCAGCATTTATTAATAAGCGATTTCCGGTTACCTGAAGATTTACTTTACTTTCGATTAAAATTATTTAAAAAAACTTCAGAATTTTATAATTTTATATAATAATTTATATTTTATTAAAGCAGCACTTTCTAATAACATTTTTGGCTCTATGTATCTTCTCGAAAAATGAGCGGTTTTGTCACAAATGTCTGTATTTCTATGGCCTCATTCCACTGTAAGTGCCATCCCAACCCTTTCTGTTGCTATATACGAGAACATTTAGGGGAGACAGCTCCTACTTTATTTTTTCACAAAAAAAAATCAATTTATTTTACACCAATGAAATAATTCGCTTTAAAGGCTATATTTAGTTGCAGCTTTTCAGATGTTTAAAAAAATTTGATTTCATCGTGACGTAAATAACAAAATTGACGGCATCACTAAGCTGGTAGAGTATTGACGTCACGACACACATGATGACGTCGACGTGATACAATGTCTCTGGCGAGATGTAAAACTTGAGCAGAAGTTGCGAGGGAATTAAAACAACAACAAACACCACACACACAGTGACCAACATCCTGGTCAGTTTTAGGTCTTTGATTTTCTTAGACACGGTAGAAGACACTGCGGTTTTGTTTGATGTTTTGCTGGTCACGCATAGTTTAAGTAAAGTCAGTGTAGTACACACGAGTATAATAGTAAAAGGTATGGCTGATACAAGAACAAATCGATCAAAATTAAAATAACTTGAGATACGCGTCAGTTGTTTCAGAACTTCCGGCTCGTCAAAGGTAAATAAATATTTATTCAGAAAATATTCTGTGAATTTGTTTTCAAATAAACTCGCAAGTACCACGTATATGTAAATTAAAACGATCATAATCTTGAGTCGTGTTGCAGAAAAGAATTCTGAAAAACATGGCGGCAGACAAACATCAACAAATCTCTGCACTGCTATCAAAGCCACCTGATGAAAACTTGCAAGAAGCGCACAACGAGTTAAAAAAACGACAACGTTAAGATACTCGATGTGTATGCTGTACATCACAGTATAGCAGTGCTGGGAACACATCACTAAAACCACATTCAAAACCCCAGTCACCGAGAACATCAGATGTGTACCAGAAAGCGATGCTAGGATAATGTCTGTCGGTTCTTTCATTCCGCGAGCTACCACTTCTGCTATCGTCAAAACATTTCCCATAATGCCAAGAACACACAAAATGCACAGTAAAAGCAAATTCACATAGTTGACAACATGCTCTGTGAGCAAAAATTTTGGCTCAAAATCAGAAAATAAATTCCACACCAGACTTCTATTTTTAGAAAAGTTGTTCATGGTGTACGACATTACGAAAAGCCTGGAAGGGTTTTACTAGTGAAACAGTGGAGATATTTGTTAACAGTTTAGCAAGTGGAAAGCTCTAGAAATTTGTTAACAGTTTAGCAATGTGGAACAGTCCAAAAATTTAATCAGAGTTTGACACCTACCTTAAAATAAGTAAAAAAATAAGTATTTATACAAAGAATTGTAGCAGCAACTAATTATGTTTTCGAGTTCGAGAAAGGAATTCAATCCTCTAATGCAACCCCTTCGATAGAACGGATGTCTAAGCACAATTTTCTGTGTTGTTAATCAGTGTACTTGCTGAGATATAGACAAGACATAAGGCTCATATAATTCTTTAAAAAGTAAGTACCATATATATATATATATATATATATATATATATATATATATATATATATATATATAAGCTATAGACTAGTTCATGTGTGGTAGACTATACCTTAAAACTCTTCTATAGTAACAATATTGATGTAACTTTCCACGCAAACACTTCATATTTAAATACAAAAGTGAATAGTCCAAAAAAGTTGATTTCGTTTTCTTTAGATCGTTTTACGACGGTATTAATACTTGCCTTTATGTTTGTTTTATTCCTTTATTTATATCTTGGTGTCAATACAATGTCTTGCATGTTGTTTTTTTTTTTTACTGCCGTCGACATGCAAGTTTATCCTGTTTTTTTTTAAATTTTATTCTTTTTCTTTGTTTCTATTCTTTCCTGTATTTACGGCTGATTCTTGTGCAGTTTAGTCATGACTCAAGTATACTATCTTTTGAGTTTATTCGGCAATAAAATATTTTACGCTTGTTTCGGTGTCTTTGTATTTCGGTGGTTCATTTTTCCTCGTTGTACTAAAAAAACAATGAAGTTTTTATTTGAAATAATATTTCATGCATCGGTATTTTAAATCAATAACTTTTTAAACTAGATCTAGGCATATATTGTGTTTACTGATTTGGTATTAGATTTTCCGTTGCATGTGCTCATTAAGTGGTCTTTCATCCATTTTCTAAAGTTAAACATCAAAATCCAACTTCAAAATTTAGCCATTGCGATCAATATTAGTATGCAATTTTTTAGCTGTAAAACAAAAAGTAATTGTATAAAGTACGATTAACGTCAAAAACTAACATTCACGTGAATAACAAATCCTGCTTTTGTATGCGTTAGATAATGGTAGAGGTAATGGTTAACGTCAAGATGTAACGACCAAGAGAAAGGTTAACGAGGATTTTAGTAAGGCAGTTATGTTTTCAGTTTCATCACATGGGTTATGACATGGCATTCAAATGGAAATTAGTTTCCATGTTAATCTTCTGTCGTAATGGCTTCTGTGTATGTTAGATGGTGGTGTTTTTGGTAGCATTAAATGGGCGAACATGATTCAGATGAATCAAATCTTTATCTAGCCATGTTTCTCTTTATCTTTTGGCATCTGTATTTTTGTGTCTTATTCTTCTTGTTTTTGTTTTAATTTATTTATGTCTTCGTGTATCTTTTTCTGTGTTTATGTATATCTTTGTTTCTTTGTATTTTGTCTTTCGGCACTAGTATCTAGAATCTAGAACACGGACTGACAATATACAGATATGTAGCTATATGCGGTTCTGTGAATGTATGAATGCAGCTCTTTCCATAAGATATACGAAAGTGTTACTTATTTTAAAAGTGAACAGGCGAATATATAGCATGTAAATAATTTTAACTTTCTTAAAATTAAACAGAGTTTGTAATGTGGCTTCATGAGTATATTTTATGAGAATTATGAAGGAAATTGTTCTCAATAAGTGTTGGACTGGGTCGCTGGACACTGTGATAAATCTTATAGATTATAGAGGGTTATTTTTTTATGTGAGTTTCTTCTTTCTTTGGTGTAGGTGTGTATTCATTACGTTTTATCTCTGCCATGATGTCACTTTATTCCTTCGACTCAAGGAACAGAAACTTTAATTTCAACTATTTTTCTGACAATTCTGACCACAGGTAGAGGGGGGATGGGGTTAATTCCTTAAAAAAGATGTGACGTCATTCTGGGTTAGGTTAACGGTTTTAAAATGCCACCGAAACTACCTTTGTAATGACGTCAAGACGAGGACAAAGTGTTTACAAGAATGAGACTACGTTTAATAAAAAAAAACTCATCAAAACAGACTGTCAAAAAAGTGGGGGTAGATATCACCAGGAGTTCCGCGGAATCAGATTCACGCGTGGGTTATCCAAAAGAACGACGAAGTAACTCCTCAGCCACGCTTCCCCAATCAATTCCAGGGAAAAATAAGCTTGTATACCACTGTTAGAATACGTCGTGCTATTTTTGGAATCTTGCTAAGCCGGAATGGCGGCGTAAACGAATCGATACACGGAAAGAATAAGCCTGGAGATGTCTGTAAAGTTGGTTTATGCGGTTGTATTTTATCCCAGTGTTAGTTAACTGGTACCATGTTAAAGCGTTTTTTGTCGATGCCGATATTTACTTCGTGTTTAGGTTACTTTTAATAGTTTTCCGATGACCGGAAAAATGCGCACAAATTTTTGTTTTTTAATCTAGCATTTATTGATTTTAACTAAACATGAACAGATGTAAATTGTAATTGAGGCATAATAAAAAGCTTTTCAACGGATAATGACCTAATTAAAGTGTATTAGTATAATATAATTTGTATTTGCGAATTTTTTTTATTTGCGCAGCTTTCCGTTTGCGCAGTTTATAGGAACCCTTTACCTAGACCATTGACGGGAAGCAGATGGTATAACGTTTGAGATCGCCCGTGGTTGGTTAACATTGGCAATATATCCTAGACTTGTAATATAATACGATGAACACCCTAATGATATTTTATGCAATGTTTTAGCGGGTAGCAGAATAGAATGCTATGTCTTACGTAACACAATACGATGAACATCCTAAGGATATTTCATGTAATGTTTTAGCGGGTAGGAGTGTTGAATGCTACGTCTTACGTAATATAATACGATGAACGTCCTAGTGATATTTCATGTTTTAGCGTCTAGGAGAATAGAATTGAATGTTATGTCTAATGTAACACAATACGATAAACGTTATAATATTTTATGTAATGGTTTAGCGGATAGCAGAATAGACTGCTACGTCTTATGGTCCCGTGAACACATTTAAAACGCACAAAAATAACAGGGTAGATATCGCCAGGAGTTTCGCGGTATTCGAACCGCGGACTGTATATAATTTTTTTAGGCCATTTTTTTTTTTTTTTTGTTAAAGAAGTACGAAGTAACTCCACGGCCAAGCTTCCCCAGAGCAGTTAAGAGCAAAATATCTTTAAATACTACGGGCTGATAACGCTGTGCTATTTTTGGCAACTGAATCAGCCGGCAGAAGGCGGGCTAAGCCAGAAGTAATCGATAAACAGATACAGTTTTGAAGTAGGGACGTAGTAGCTTTTATAGTAAGGTTTTTATTTTTACGGAGAAGTCATCCATTAATTATCTAGCCGATTTTGTACCTAAATAAAAAAGTTAGGCACTCCTATCCCCAAATTGACGTCACATTTCAGCCTACGTACACCCAGTGCTTCTTTCAGACTCTTTTTCTGCTTGAAACTTTCTGGGTGGCTGACACAATTTTCCGGGATGCGGATAAAATTTTCCGCGAGTGGGGTGGGATGGGGGGGGGGGGGGAGACAGGTAAAAACATAAACATTTATTTTCCTAGATAAATTCTATTTCGGTGTGGGGGGGGGGTAGACTTTCTTCGGTGGAGGGGGTGGAGGGGTTACCTGCGCTTTACATTAAACGCGTAAAAAAATCACAAAAATAATGGGGCAGATATCGCCGGAAGCTTCACGGTATTCGAACCGCGGACGATGCATTCCCTTGAAAAAACGAAGTAGCTCCTCAGCCAAGCTTCCCCAGTTAATTTATTGCAAACATATCTTTATATACAACTGTTTCAAAAGGCGCTGCTATTTTTGGAAACTGAATCAGTTTGCTAAGCAGACTGAAGCATTCGATAAATCGATGCAGCAAAAAAGTCAGTTCACCAGTAGACTTGTACCGTATTTGTCGTAAGCTTTTTTTCTTTCCCCATCTGCACACAATGAATAAGCTTATCTTTAACGAATTTGTTAATTTCTTTAATGAAAAGGTAAAACTCCATTTCAGCGTATTTTATTCTCCGTTGCTTGTTTACCTCCAGTTGAGCGTATTTTATTATAACAACCGAAACACACAAAAACATTAGGAAAACACGATTTATTTTTTGTATTGTATTTTTGTTTTAGCAAATGAATAAAAATGAATATTTAAAAAGCACGACTTGTTTATTTTTATTGTATTTTTAAAAAAAGGCATTTGTCTCATGGTGAAACTGATACACTGTTAATCATTCTGTTTTATATTTTTGTATTTATGCAATAAATGTACAAACTCTGTGTTTTTTAATTTGACAGTTTTGCTAAAACTGAAAAAAATATTTTACTATAGAGTTGTATGTTATTTAAATTCATAGTAAATCTACCATCCTTCCCTTTTTTGTATGAGTAAATTTCTGACTTTAAAAAAAAATGGATGTGGGGTCGTCCATAAATGACGTCACACTCGTAAGGGAGAGGGGGGGTCAGCAATTTTGTGACGGTGTGTGATGAGGGGGAGGGGGTGGGGTTTCAGATGGTGTGACGTCCCTTTTTTGCATTATAAAAAAGCAATGTTAGAAAAACAAGTTTTAGCCGTTATTTCACGTTTTAGAAAACGGTTTTAATAAATTGTAATATGAATTGATCAAAATACTCTATGTTGACAGAGTTCTGACAAGATTTTGGAAAAATTATCGATGTTTTAAGAAAAATTCAACAGAAATTTTGAGGGGGGGGGGGGGGGTTGTAGGCTGAGGTGTGACGTCATTTTAGGGGGGGGTCTGACTTTTTGTGACGACATGTAACGGAGGGGAGGGGGGAGGTAAAAATCGTAAAAAAGCGTGTCGTCACAAAAAGCAAGACCCCCCCCCCCCCCCCCAAAATGACGTAGCACCATCTGAACCCCCCTTCTAATCGCACACCGTCACAAAATTACGGACCCCCCCTCCCCCTACGAGTGTGACGTCATTTATGGACGACCTCTAACATTTTTTTTTTAAAATGACAACGTGAGTTGTCACACTTTCTCTAACACTCCAAGCCATCAGTCACCAAATTCCACCCCCCCCCCCCCTCGGCCCACTTTCGGCAGCATCATTGTGCCTTTTAATACTTTTATTCAGTTTAGTTGAAATTGGAACACTTAATTGTACAAAGTGTGCATCTCTATTTTTGTAACCAACAAACAAATCACTTCAGTCAGTCTCTTTGTTGTTTTTTATTCATTTGTTAAAACAAAAATACAATACAAATAAATAAGTCGTGTTTTTTAAACATTCATTTTATTCATTTGTGAAAACAGAAATACAATACAAAAAATAAATCGTGTTTTCCTAATGTTTTGGTGTGTTTCGGTTGTTATAATAAAATACGCTCAACTGGAGGTAAACAAGCAACGGAGAATAAAATACGCTGAAATGGAGTTTTACCAATGAAAATATTGTTTTTACCTAAAATATATGCATGCCCTAACGGATGGGGGGGGGGGGGGGGCGTGTCTATTAACTCGAATCTACCCCTAAAGCTAATCAACTCTCGGGCAACCTATCCTAAACCTATCCGGCGCTCGGGGACAAACTTTCAATTTGCCCCCCCCCCCCCTCGGGAGCTAATTTTTAATTTGCACCCCCCCCTCAAATTTTCGATTTGCACCTCCCGCTCTAACTTATTTATAATTTTTTAACCCATTTTGGCGCCCCCTAAGGTCGGCGCTACGCCTTTACCTAAACACACAGCTTCATGCATCATGGGGTATTAAAAACATTCATAACAGTAAATAGCCCTAATACGTCTATTACCAGTCGACTGGGAATAGGACACATTGAACTATTAATCCCTACTACTAACACTAATTCTAAAATATAAGATCAGTACTAATCCGTCATGTGGGATGGATCGGACACTCATTAAGAAAAGAAAACATCGCAAAACATGCTTTGGAATGGAACCCCAGGGAAAAAGGAGGGTGGGCCGGCCAAGAAGAACGGTTGAAGAAGAGGCGAAAACAGCTGGGCTCACATGGGCACAGATTAAGGGAGCAGCCCAAAACTGAGTCCGCTGGAGATGTGTGGTTGCAGCCCTTTGCTCCCCAGGGGCCACAAAGGAATGATGATGATGATGATGACTAATCTTTCATCTAACCCAGTCTTACCAAGAAACTCACATGAGAACCAACTGAACCGATTCTTTTGAAATTTGATAGGTAGGTTATATTTAGAGATATGGCTACTGATTTCTAAAAAAAGTTTCAATACTTACTACAACTACTCATGCGATTCTTTATAGTTATATAAATAGTAGTGTGTTATTATATTTAAAGAAAATTATTTTATTTTCATACTTTTTATACATAAATAAAACATAGCTTCATACATGCTTTTATTCTTTTTTTAAATATAATTTTATTTTAAACTGGTGTGTGTAACAAAATTCCTCATTTCTCTCAGTGAACTGTTTTACAACTAGCACTCCCTGAATAACAGTTGTAGTTTTTCTGCCAGATTTGTTTGGTCTGATTTGCCATGCATGTCGAATTGTGAGACAGTTTAATACACACACACCCCAGATTTTCAGACAGGGTTGAGTTCATCAAGTCTTTAACGTTTTACATTTACATAATGTGAGTCTGAAAAAAAATTACAAAATGTTTTAGTTTAAATGTTGACTATATATACCGATTCAAATGTTGACTTTATAAACAGGTTCAAATGTTGGCTTTATAAACAGGTTCAAATGTTGGCTTTATAAACAGGTTCAAATGTTGACTTTATAAACAAGTTCAAATGTTGACTTTATAAACAGGTTCTAACGTTGACTTTATAAACAGGTTCTAACGTTGACTTTATAAACAGGTTCTAACGTTGACTTTATAAACAGGTTCAAATGTTGGCTTTATAAACAGGTTCAAATGTTGACTTTACATACAGAACTGTAACCACACCACTGAGATTCACCAACAGATGGTGTCCATCACTAGCAAAGAATAGAAAGAATAAACAATATATTTCCTCTTAGTTTCCGCTTTTTGTTCGATCTACCAACATGTATTCTGTTTCAACTTTGTTTACATTTGAACGCTGAATCCTCAAGATTTCACTAATTTAAATTTGGCAAAGTTATGGGTCAATTTAGTTTTAATTAGTAAAGTTTTAAAGTATGTTACAGAACTTAGTAAACTAGGAAATTGCGGAGTTTAAAACTTTTTAAGAGTAAGGGAAGAGAACTCGACCGTGTGTCCTAAAATGCTTCAATAAGTCAAAGATAACTTATTCAGCTGATATAGGGTTAAGCAGTGTAAGCCGGTGATTAGGCTAAATTGAGAAATTTGAAACAAAAAAAATTCCAAACTTACCAGTTGAATCCATTCTTGTTGGTGGAGCATCAACAATGATTAAATAATCCGGTTCTTTTTAGAAAAAAAAAAAAAGAAACGGAATAATAATTTTTAAAAATGTACTCAAAATAAATGAATCACCTTTATTAAAATGTACTGAAGCCACGAAAGCATGGTATATTACAAGATTGTATGGTAAAGATGAATAACTCTTTGAAGATTAGCAACACTACATACTACTAACAAAACCAAACAACCAGATTCATTATTCACACATTTTAGTGTAGTGTCAAGACCAAAAAAAAATTACTTTTTTGAGTTACTTTAAGAAAACAAGTTAATAAAAAGTCTAGTGACAATTTAAGCGCAATTTAAATTATGGCAGGAATCGATTGGTAAATGTTTCAAGTCGCTAAGTGGTCTGGTTGCCGAGATATGGGCCAAAAACTGCATTTTTTCTAGGTTTTTTGGCTTTTCCGGGAAATCCAGGAAGGAATTCCGGGAATTTTTTTGGCCCACAATCATCCTCGGAACTTGCTTAACATATTTGCTTTTGGAACTAGTCCTCGATATTGCTTCGTTGAGGAGGATATACGACTTAAAGACGACTTAAAGCTGCGGACACACATCCATCCATACATTCCCAGAAATGACGAGTTAATAAACGCAATTCTCCAGAATGGAAATTGCGCTAAAAAATTACTTTTTTGAGTTACTTTAAGACAAAAAAAATTGAGAGTTATGAGCTAGTTAAAAGATAAGACGAATATGTTAACAAGGTAATGTTTTGTTTCATAATGTATATAGCCGTTTAAGGAAATAAATACATGAATTTAAAAAAAAAAAAACCTTACCTCTCTTGATAGAATCTTGAATAGTTTCATATATATTTCCATTAGAGTAGTAGTCTATAAGAAAAGATAAATTGAAAACGTGTTTTTGATTGCTAAAGTAACTGGCAGAATCCTAAATAAAACAAAAAATCTTGAAAATATCCAAAAACTTCGAAAACTCTTTTAACGTAAATTAGTTGAAAACAACAATGCACCAAACCTTAAATAACTAAACAGATGAAATTTGAGCCTCTTATGTTCCAGGTTAGATGTACAAAATTATTACCACATAAAAATAAACTTTTAATAAAATGATACAAGCAAACGAGCCACATATTAAACATACGAGAGTGCACTTGGGTAACCAATCAATTTAACTGGCAACTTGCCTGGAACATATTTTTCCAATGTTTTCTTTCTCACTAAACAGCCACGATAGATTGGACAAAATACTGGAGCCCTATACACAAACAAAAAGGATGGCAATAATATTTTTATTAATTTTTTTTTTTAAATTTCAAAAAAAAAAAAAACTTTTTGAGTGAATGTTGTGGTCCTGTAGTGTAGTAGGAAAATATATTTAAACTTTTCATTAAGATAATTGTGAACTAAATAAGAATCTTTAAATTTAGTTGTAAGGAAAAAAAAGGCCACTATATGTTTTTAACAAAGCATGTTAGTAACTCACCTACTCTCTGTAGTTCTATTTGCAGTTGTCTTCTCTTTTCCTGAAAATAATATTTTAAAATACGTTGTTTTAATTTTTAACTTTTAAGGTACACATTATGTAACGACAGGCTATTTTTCACTTTGTTTAGTTTAGTTGATTGTCGTTTGTATTGAAAAAGTAAAGTTCAGTTTGTTGACGTTACATTGTTAGGGGTGACCGGAATGATACGCAATGGCAAAATGCGCAACGGAAAAGTGCGCACTAAAAAGATCTCAAGGGCATTTTTTTTTCTTAAATCAAGCATTTTCTGACACTGTAGCATTATAAAACACTTTTCCACGAAATATGACACAATTAAAGTGTATTAGTATAATTAGTTTGTATTTCCGCATTTTTCTATTTGCGCAGTTTTCCGTTTACGCATATTTCTGAACCTAAACTCACACCACTTAAATCCGCCAAAACACATCGTTTATGCCTATTAAAACACTAGAAATATCTAAACAAAATTTTACCGTTTAGTCTCCGCTGTGTGTTAGGGCTATCAACAACAATCAGATACTCTGGTTCGTCGGTGTTTACACCTGAAAGATGAACCCACAAGATTTTATCAAATACATTTTTACCATGTTAGAGGCTCTATTAAGGGGACAGTATCAACCATACTAAGGGAGAGAAACAAAATATTCACCAACAAATAACTATTAGACAAACACAAGTCAAATTTTTACAGTGATAATAATTATTCTACAGCTATAATACAGCATATAATTTGTGGTGTTAAGCAAAACCTAATCAAGTTTTAGTCAGTAGAGCTTTTTAAAAGAAAGTTAGATAGTTTACACGATGAATCAGGCAAAAAAAAAACAACCAAACAACAGTTTAAATTTACTTTGATCAGCAATCATTGCCAACCAGTAAGTCTCGAGTTCGAATCAGGGTTCAAGTGAGTAGACTATTTTATTTTTAAACTCATGAAAATATTAGTCTGCATCTCTCAGTAATGAACAATAAATATAAACAATAAACATTCGCTTTTCTATTAGAATATTTAGTTACTCCATTTTTCGATGTACTTCCTTGTTTTCTAAAGCTGAGTTATTTAAATGTAAACAATGCCTGGGCTTGGATCATATTTATGGGGGCACGGGTTGACATACATTACAACCCAGCTCTCCATGAGGCGTATGTATGAAAGCCTTGAGTGAAAAATAATCATTCACCGTTATATAGCCTAATAGCCGTTAATCACTCAACGCTTAAGTGTCGGGGACGGAAAGTGGCGCTTTGTGAACCCGATTCCACTATCGCGGATTGTCATGTACAGCCCCTAGCTCGGTTTAATCGTCGAATATCGTGTGCCGCATTATCAATATTGTAGGGTGCTCCTTAAAACTAACGTAGTCGCGTAGTGCTCTCGGGATAGCCCTGGGCGCCAAATTGCACTCTGCAGAGACGCCGGAGGACGCGCATCATTCGATTTAGTAAGCGACTAGAGCAACTCATTGTATCGTTTAATGAACGTAGGCGCTATGGTGCTCATGGGTAAGCCCGGGGCGCCAAAACGCTCCCTGTCGGCGCGTCGTAGGGCGCGCCTGATTCGATTAAGTCAATGGTTATTGATGCCCATCGTGTCTTTAGTGTTGGCCTTTTTTTAAAAAAACGAACGTATGTGCCATTGTGCTCGCAGATGAGCCCGGGGTTCTTCGGGTCTCGCAATCCTAATCAAAGATTATAATATTGAAATTAAAATGTTTGTGGCTCTTTAAAAGCTGGGAAATTGTGTAAATTGTAACTTTTGGCTCTTCTGTCTCAAAAGGTTGCCGACCCCTGGAGTAGACCGTCCCTGAGTCCACCCAACTCTGATGGGTAGCCTACCTAACTCACGTTAGGGAAAGTAAAGGCGGCTTGGCATAGCGATGACCACACTATCTCTTCATATGCCGAGGTCACAGAAACAAGTGAACTCTACTTCACTTGCCCCATAGACCGTCAGGTTTGAAAGGGAAACTTTACTTTACTTACTGCTGCAATATAGGCCAGTCATTGTTATTCATGTTATGTGTACATTCATTATGTCCATTCATGACTGCGAGACATACTTGTGGAATCGTTATGCTATTAGAACTAGCTAAATGGTATAATATGTCATACTCCTAAAAATTGCGAAAATAATTTTCTAGCATGAAGATTTTTTTATATTTCTTTAAAAAAAAATTAATTTTAAAAATGCAATTAGCTACTTTGACAGATTAGATTTAGTTTATCCCATGAAGTCTAGACCATAAAGTACACATTGTATAAAAAGCACATAGACACACATGACACACCATGTTTTAATAAGTACTGATATATATAACCAAAGATAACCCATTCAGCTGGTAAAAGGATATACAGTGTAAATCAACGATTAAAGGGTTAAATCAAAACTTACACACTGAGTTCTTTCTTGTTGGTGGAGAATCAACAATGATTAAATAATCCGGGTCTGTAATAAAAAAAAAGAAATGGAAAATAAAACACAAGCATTGGAAAAAAAAGGAATTAACTTTAAAAAGTCAAAATTGATTACTGGAGTGTTCTTTGATGAAAAAATAAATATAAAATCAGAGGCGTAGCGACCCTTCCAGGCGCCCGGGGACAAACTTTCAATTTGGCGCCCCCTCGGGATCAACCTTTCAATTTTCGATTTGCACCCCCCTCGAACTATCGAGTTGCACCCACCCCCCCTCCTCAAACTTTCGATTTGCACACCCCCCTCATATATTTTTTTATATTTATAAAGCAAAAATGCAGCTAAAATAATATTTTAATTTGTTTTTCCAACTCATTTTGGCGCCCCCTAAGGTTGGCGCCCGGGGACATATGTACCCCCCTGCCCCCCCCCTTCGCTACGCCTCTGTATAAAATATACATAACGTCAATAATAAGCTTATTTGGGTACTTGCCAGGGACATTTGTTTCCTTTCCTTTTTTTGTCAACAAACAGTCTGGGAAGATTGGGCAAAAGTGTGGGGCCCTAAACAAACAAAGAAGGGCAAACAACCTTTATTCATTTTTTAGTTTGTTGTAGTAATACAGAAAAAAAACAAAGAATAAGCAAATGTTATTATCTGTGGTGTGTTAGATAAAATATACTTACTTAAGCTTTTCATTAAGATTTAGTATAAAAAAATTACTTGAGAATTGGATAAGTATCTTGATATTGAATAGTAAGAGAACAGAATATATATTATATTTGTGTAAAGCATTTCAGTAGCTCACCTACTCTCTGTGGTTGTACTTGAAGTTGTCTTTTCTTCTCCTGAAAATAGAGAGTAGACATACAATAAATGTTTAAAATAATGCAGTTCTCTTTTTTAACTTATAAGCTGCAAAATACGTAAGCTACCCACATTTTATATTCTACTTTGTATATTTATTTTAAAGGATTGATTTTTCCTGTATTCAGGCAAGAAAAAAACAATTCAGTTTATTTTATCGTAACTACCATAACACGGGCATTTCATAAATGCAATTACTAAGACCAGAGGCGCAGCGACCCTTCTCGGCGCCCCGCTCAAATTTTCAATTTGGCGCCCCCCTCAGGAACAACCTTTCAGTTTGCACCACCACCCCCCCCCCAAACTTTCAATTTGCACCCCCACCCCCCCCCCTCTCAAACTTTCAATTTGCGCACCCCCCCCCCCCCCCCTCGAACTTTCATTTTGCACCCACCCCCCATATATTTTTCATATATATATAATGCAAAACTGCAGCTAAAATGTTTTTTACAACCCATTTTGGTGCCATCCTAAGGTCGGCGCCCGGGGACATATGTATCCCCCGCACCCCCCCCCCCCCCTCCCCCAACTCGCTACGCCTCTGATCAAGACGTTAGATATAGAATGATATAATAAAATTCATCTTAGTTTCTAAATATTTTCATTTCCCCTAAGACAATTTTACTTTTGGTTTGCAACATAGGTCGTGCTTATCTATTTCTTCTCAAGACCTTCACAAGAGCAGAAGATAAAACAGAAGTCTTATGTGGTCGTGACCATGGTATACTAAAATAAATTGTATGGTTTGCACCTTGCTTGTCTCTCTAACTTTTACTTACCCTGGAACCCAATTAGAGCTAATCTCCAGAGCGTAGCGATGGGGGGGGGGGGGGCAGGGGTGTACATATGTCCCCGGGCGCCGACCTTAGGGGCGCCAAAATGATTTGTAAAGACAAATTAAAATGTCATTTTTGCTTTATTTTTGCATTATAAATAGTTTGAGGGGAGGTGCAAATCAAAAGTTTGAGGGGGGATGCAAATCGAAAGTTTGCTCTCGAGGGGGGCGCCAAATTGAAAGTTTGTCCCCGGGCGCCGGGAAGGGTCGCTACGCCTCTGCTAATCTATTCCTGTTTGTATATTGAAAAAAAACCCAATGTTTTTAAAATTAAACTTAAAACCAACTTACTTAATTTCTTTCTCAAAACTAGGAGGTAGAGGACAAGAAAAATGATAATAAAGGTCAGAACTCCAATAACAACTCCTACAATAGCTCCAGCAGACAGGGGCTCACCAGGGGCAGCTGTTGAAAAAAAAACATAATCACAAAAGAATTAACAAAACAATAAACTAGCTTAAATGGGTTTTTTAAGGTTCTAAATTTGTTTATTAGAAAAACATAATCACAAAAGAGTTAACAAAACAATAAACTAGCTTAAATGGGTTTTTTAAGGTTCTAAATTTGTTTATTAGAAAAACATAATCACAAAAGAATTAACAAAACAATAAACTAGCTTAAATGGGTTTTTTAAGGTTCTAAATTTGTTTATTAGAAAAACATAATCACAAAAGAATTAACAAAACTAAACTAGCTTTGAAGTTTTTTTTAAGGTTCTAAATTTGTTTATTAGAAAAACATAATCACAAAAGAATTAACAAAACTAAACTAGCTTTGAATTTTTTTAAAGGTTCTCAATTTGTTTATTAGAAAAACATAATCACAAAATAATTAACAAAACTAAACTAGCTTTGAAGTTTTTTTAGGTTCTAAATTTGTTTATTAGAAAAACATAATCACAAAAGAATTAACAAAACTAAACTAGCTTGAATGGGTGTTTTAAGGTTCTAAATTTGCTTATTAGACCTTGACATATAACATTATTGATATGTCTGTCTTTATTGTATGCTGAGTGAAGCTTTGAAGTTTTTTTAAGGTTCTAAATTTGTAAGAAAAAACATAATCACAAAAGAATTAACAAAACTAAACTAGCTTTGAATTTTTTTAAAGGTTCTGAATTTGTTTATTAGAAAAACATAATCACAAAAGAATTAACAAAACAATAAACTAGCTTAAATGGGTTTTTTAAGGTTCTAAATTTGTTTATTAGAAAAACATAATCACAAAAGAATTAACAAAACAATAAACTAGCTTAAATGGGTTTTTTAAGGTTCTAAATTTGTTTATTAGAAAAACATAATCACAAAAGAGTTAACAAAACAATAAACTAGCTTAAATGGGTTTTTTAAGGTTCTAAATTTGTTTATCAGAAAAACATAATCACAAAAGAATTAACAAAACAATAAACTAGCTTAAATGGGTTTTTTAAGGTTCTAAATTTGTTTATTAGAAAAACATAATCACAAAAGAATTAACAAAACTAAACTAGCTTTGAAGTTTTTTTTAAGGTTCTAAATTTGTTTATTAGAAAAACATAATCACAAAAGAATTAACAAAACTAAACTAGCTTTGAATTTTTTTAAAGGTTCTCAATTTGTTTATTAGAAAAACATAATCACAAAATAATTAACAAAACTAAACTAGCTTTGAAGTTTTTTTAGGTTCTAAATTTGTTTATTAGAAAAACATAATCACAAAAGAATTAACAAAACTAAACTAGCTTGAATGGGTGTTTTAAGGTTCTAAATTTGCTTATTAGACCTTGACATATAACATTATTGATATGTCTGTCTTTATTGTATGCTGAGTGAAGCTTTGAAGTTTTTTTAAGGTTCTAAATTTGTAAGAAAAAACATAATCACAAAAGAATTAACAAAACTAAACTAGCTTTGAATTTTTTTAAAGGTTCTGAATTTGTTTATTAGAAAAACATAATCACAAAAGAATTAACAAAACAATAAACTAGCTTAAATAGGTTTTTTAAGGTTCTAAATTTGTTTATTAGAAAAACATAATCACAAAAGAATTAACAAAACTAAACTAGCTTTGAAGTTTTTTTTAAGGTTCTAAATTTGTTTATTAGAAAAACATAATCACAAAAGAATTAACAAAACTAAACTAGCTTTGAATTTTTTTAAAGGTTCTCAATTTGTTTATTAGAAAAACATAATCACAAAATAATTAACAAAACTAAACTAGCTTTGAAGTTTTTTTAGGTTCTAAATTTGTTTATTAGAAAAACATAATCACAAAAGAATTAACAAAACTAAACTAGCTTGAATGGGTGTTTTAAGGTTCTAAATTTGCTTATTAGACCTTGACATATAACATTATTGATATGTCTGTCTTTATTGTATGCTGAGTGAAGCTTTGAAGTTTTTTTAAGGTTCTAAATTTGTAAGAAAAAACATAATCACAAAAGAATTAACAAAACTAAACTAGCTTTGAATTTTTTTAAAGGTTCTGAATTTGTTTATTAGAAAAACATAATCACAAAAGAATTAACAAAACAATAAACTAGCTTAAATGGGTTTTTTTAAGGTTCTAAATTTGTTTATTAGAAAAACATAATCACAAAAGAATTAACAAAACTAAACTAGCTTTGAAGTTTTTTTTAAGGTTCTAAATTTGTTTATTAGAAAAACATAATCACAAAAGAATTAACAAAACTAAACTAGCTTTGAATTTTTTTAAAGGTTCTGAATTTGTTTATTAGAAAAACATAATCACAAAAGAATTAACAAAACAATAAACTAGCTTAAATGGGTTTTTTAAGGTTCTAAATTTGTTTATTAGAAAAACATAATCACAAAAGAATTAACAAAACTAAACTAGCTTTGAAGTTTTTTTTAAGGTTCTAAATTTGTTTATTAGAAAAACATAATCACAAAAGAATTAACAAAACTAAACTAGCTTTGAATTTTTTTAAAGGTTCTCAATTTGTTTATTAGAAAAACATAATCACAAAATAATTAACAAAACTAAACTAGCTTTGAAGTTTTTTTAGGTTCTAAATTTGTTTATTAGAAAAACATAATCACAAAAGAATTAACAAAACTAAACTAGCTTGAATGGGTGTTTTAAGGTTCTAAATTTGCTTATTAGACCTTGACATATAACATTATTGATATGTCTGTCTTTATTGTATGCTGAGTGAAGCTTTGAAGTTTTTTTAAGGTTCTAAATTTGTTTATTAGAAAAACATAATCACAAAAGAATTAACAAAACAAAACTAGCTTTGAATTTTTTTAAAGGTTCTGAATTTGTTTATTAGAAAAACATAATCACAAAAGAATTAACAAAACATTAAACTAGCTTAAATGGGTTTTTTAAGGTTCTAAATTTGTTTATTAGAAAAACATAATCACAAAAGAATTAACAAAACTAAACTAGCTTTGAAGTTTTTTTTAAGGTTCTAAATTTGTTTATTAGAAAAACATAATCGCAAAAGAATTAACAAAACTAAACTAGCTTTGAATTTTTTTAAAGGTTCTCAATTTGTTTATTAGAAAAACATAATCACAAAATAATTAACAAAACTAAACTAGCTTTGAAGGTTTTTTAGGTTCTAAATTTGTTTATTAGAAAAACATAATCACAAAAGAATTAACAAAACTAAACTAGCTTGAATGGGTGTTTTAAGGTTCTAAATTTGCTTATTAGACCTTGACATATAACATTATTGATATGTCTGTCTTTATTGTATGCTGAGTGAAGCTTTGAAGTTTTTTTAAGGTTCTAAATTTGTAAGAAAAAACATAATCACAAAAGAATTAACAAAACTAAACTAGCTTTGAATTTTTTTAAAGGTTCTGAATTTGTTTATTAGAAAAACATAATCACAAAAGAATTAACAAAACTAAACTAGCTTTGAAGTTTTTTTAAGGTTCTAAATTTGTTTATTAGAAAAACATAATCACAAAAGAATTAACAAAACTAAACTAGCTTTGAATTTTTTTAAAGGTTCTGAATTTGTTTATTAGAAAAACATAATCACAAAAGAATTAACAAAACTAAACTAGCTTTGAATTTTTTTAAAGGTTCTCAATTTGTTTATTAGAAAAACATAATCACAAAATAATTAACAAAACTAAACTAGCTTTGAAGTTTTTTTAGGTTCTAAATTTGTTTATTAGAAAAACATAATCACAAAAGAATTAACAAAACTAAACTAGCTTGAATGGGTGTTTTAAGGTTCTAAATTTGCTTATTAGACCTTGACATATAACATTATTGATATGTCTGTCTTTATTGTATGCTGAGTGAAGCTTTGAAGTTTTTTTAAGGTTCTAAATTTGTTTATTAGAAAAACATAATCACAAAAGAATTAACAAAACTAAACTAGCTTTGAATTTTTTTAAAGGTTCTGAATTTGTTTATTAGAAAAACATAATCACAAAAGAATTAACAAAACATTAAACTAGCTTAAATGGGTTTTTTAAGGTTCTAAATTTGTTTATTAGAAAAACATAATCACAAAAGAATTAACAAAACTAAACTAGCTTTGAAGTTTTTTTTAAGGTTCTAAATTTGTTTATTAGAAAAACATAATCGCAAAAGAATTAACAAAACTAAACTAGCTTTGAAGTTTTTTTAAAGGTTCTCAATTTGTTTATTAGAAAAACATAATCACAAAATAATTAACAAAACTAAACTAGCTTTGAAGTTTTTTTAGGTTCTAAATTTGTTTATTAGAAAAACATAATCACAAAAGAATTAACAAAACTAAACTAGCTTGAATGGGTGTTTTAAGGTTCTAAATTTGCTTATTAGACCTTGACATATAACATTATTGATATGTCTGTCTTTATTGTATGCTGAGTGAAGCTTTGAAGTTTTTTTAAGGTTCTAAATTTGTAAGAAAAAACATTATCACAAAAGAATTAACAAAACTAAACTAGCTTTGAATTTTTTTAAAGGTTCTGAATTTGTTTATTAGAAAAACATAATCACAAAAGAATTAACAAAACTAAACTAGCTTTGAAGTTTTTTTAAGGTTCTAAATTTGTTTATTAGAAAAACATAATCACAAAAGAATTAACAAAACTAAACTAGCTTTGAATTTTTTTAAAGGTTCTGAATTTGTTTATTAGAAAAACATAATCACAAAATAATTAACAAAACTAAACTAGCTTTGAAGTTTTTTTAGGCTCTAAATTTGTTTATTAGAAAAACATAATCACAAAAGAATTAACAAAACTAAACTAGCTTTGAATTTATTTAAAGGTTCTGAATTTGTTTATTAGAAAAACATAATCACAAAAGAATTAACAAAACTAAACTAGCTTGAATGGGTTTTTTTAAGGTTCTAAATTTGTTTATTAGACCTTGACATATAACATTATTGATATGTCTGTCTTTATTGTATGCTGAGTGAAGGTCAGAGTTCACTGAATGCTGGGTGAAGGTCATAGCTCACTGTGTGCTGAGTGAACGTTACAGTTCACTGTGTGCTGAGTGAAAGTCAGAGTTGAAACTAAGTGGGTGAAGGCTGTGACGGGTACATGGAACATCTTATGATGATTATCATCTAATTGCATTTAAGTGGCAAAATAACTTTGACCACTGTTTATTTTATTCCTGCCCTATGAAAGAAAGTAACGACTATTCACCTTCCTATAAGATAAACAAACCTGTAGTTTTAATCCGCAGTGGCTCAGATTCAGCCTGTCCTAACACATTGATGGCCACAACTTTCATTTCATACTCGGTACTTGCAGACAGAGATTTCACTATTGCCTCATTCCAGACTTCTAGCGCCATTATTGGTTTAATGTTTTCCACAGCAACACTCCATTCACCATCCATCTAAAAAAAATTAATTTAACAATTTATAAATATTTCAATTGTATCATACCCAATATAAATAAAGAGTACAGCAGCAAAGTGAATCATTAATGAAATTTAAATGTTAAATTGACAAAACTTACTTTGCTAGAGTATGGCCGATAATGTACAGAGAATGTTTGCTTTTCTCCTCCATCAAAGCTAGAGATCCAGAAAATTTTCACAGAATCATGTTTTACATCAACACTTGTTATATTGGTGACAACATGTGGTGGACCTTTAAGTATTAAAGAAATTGTCAACTAAATCTATTTGCAGTTACAAATATAGAAAAACTTTAAGTCATGTATGAACAATAATAAATTATTCAGATTAGTTACATGGATCTAATTAGCTCAATTAACATCTTACCCCTAGGACTGATAACAAACTTTAAATCTCTTTTAAATTCACTGGATTCAAAAGTTACTGTAAACTCCCTGTCCATATCAGTTTGATCTAACTTTCTGCGGCTAAAAAATGTGAATTTTGTCATGTAGGGTTTTCCATCATATTTGCTTTCTTTAGTAAACTCGACGTCCTCTGGAATTTTCTCCTGTCTTTTACTGTAAGAAATTTTATCAAAATTGATGTCAGTTTCTTTCCTTGCTGTTTTTCAATCATAAGAGTATTATTCAATTTTAATTAGAGAATTATATGTTTATAATTAAGTAAATTAACCAGGACTAAATAACTTTTAAAATAAAACCAAACTTACCTTCCTTTGACGTCAGATACAACCCTTTGAACAGTTGGTTCTGGGAAACCTCTGATCACAAAAGAAAAACTGAGAGATTTGGGGATTTCCCAAACATAATTTGGTTTAAGTTCTAAGTCTGTGTAAACACTGGAACTTGTTGGTGGACCTAATTTGAAAGAAAATTATCAATAATTTCAATACACTTTTGACAAACACTGTTTAGAAATCAAACTTAATCAACACCAAATTGTTAGTCTTTGTTACCATATCAATTTTAATGCTGCAGCTAAGTATTTCTTAATTTTAGACCAAATAATAATGTATCAGTTAATACAACCAAACACAGTAAAACTTGTACATACACAAAATAAAAAATAGGGAATTAAAACTCCAGAAACATTATTACAATATAATTATATACAGCTGAAAGTATGACTACATGTGATTAGCAGTTGAACTAGAAAATCTGAGTGCAGTTTGCATACTTAAACAAGCAATTACTAATTTTTCAGACTGGCAGTACTCACACATGACAGACAACTCCATCCTGCCCTCAACTTGTGTCAAAGAGTTACTTCCCTCACATCTGTACACACCACTGTTCTCACACCTGAGATCATTTATTTTTGCTTTACTGGTGTAGAGATGCTCTAGTATACCTGAACTGGCTGTGTTCAATTGAGGAATGGAGTTGAGTTCAAACACAACTATTTCTTCATCGTTAGGAAGAAACCATCTACAGAGGAAAACAGCTTGTTAGTGGCTAATGCTTATTTATATTAAAGTAACACACTAAATATTAAGGGTCAAGAAGGAACAGAGCCATGATTTTCAATTTTGTTTTTAAGATTTTAAAAATAATTATTTTGGTATCAAGCTATTAATCACAACAAGAATGAAAAATGATGTAAATAGGGCCCTACATAATAAAAGTTTTAATTAAAAAAAATAATTTGTATTCGTTTTTTTAGTTACATGTATTCATGATCAGTTGTAAAATATGACAATGGAAATAAAAAATTATATTTTTATATATTATACATTTTAAATAAAGTAATATAAGAATTTAAACAATCATTTTATCTAACACATTTGTAACTAAATATAAAAAGCATTGCTAAAAATATCAAACCTAATATGCGGTTTTGGGTTAGCATCAAATGTACATTGTAGAATAGCTGCTTCTCTTTCCACAATTTTATCACTGCTTATTTGTTTGTCATTTATACTCATTCTAGGGGACTCCAGGTCTGAAACATAAAATGTCTTTTATAGTCAAATTGGATTGCAAACGGGTGACATTTTTATATCCATTTAAAAAAAACCTAGAGTTACATTATTTAAAATAAAATACAAGATCATAATATAAACGCTTTAACAAACATAGAGCAACTTACATTGAACATTAAGATTGAAATCTTTTTGAACTGACCCATGAGGGTTTGTCCCCATGCACCTATAGACTCCATGACTGGACCGACTCACTCCTAATGTCAAAACTTTAGTGTCTACTAGTGATGGCATGGGATCAAAGCTTAAAAAAACATGGACGTTTATTATTAAAAGGACAATTTTCACCTTATAGTTGATGTACAGGTCAAAAGATTATTATATTTATTAAAAACCCTGTTAAATTTACCTTGTTTTGCCATGGGCTTTAAATAACCACTTGACCTCGCAAACAGGATAACAAGAAATATCACAAGTATAACTGATTTGGTCTCCTATGTTTTTAGAAATCTGGCCATCGCTAGAAACTGCTGGTGTTATTGTCATATCAGCTAGAAGGGGTTTATCTAGAAATTAAACAAAACAAACATACCTAAAAGTTATTGTTTACGATTGACTGTAAAAAATGAACAGTTGCAGAACAAGAAATAGTTGATCTATTTATTTTAAGCCAACACCAAAAGAGGCTGTAAAGAAAGTGCACAGTTCAAAAGTCTTCAAATAAACTTCACCTTATCTTCTAGCCTTTTTCTATTTTCCTAATTTGTAATAGTAATACCTTTTCATTATTTAATAATGTTTTGAAGAATTGTGTGCATATGTGGTTAACATTTTGCTAACATTTAATTGTCCTTGGGAAGAGTTTGCATAGTTCAAGCTTGCTGAAAGATTAACTTGACAGAGGTGATGCGAATTTAAGAACAAAACTAAAGCACCTAATTCTAACACAAACAATCAACAAGGTGAAAACTTTTTGTGATCAGCAAAAATTACAGTGGAGCAGATAAAACCAAATCTAAGAAAGTAATGCCTAGCAAGCGTTGACAACACTCCTCTCAACATCCACTCAAGAGAAGAATCTGGCAAATTAGAATCTATAACAGGCCTGCCAAATTAGAATCTGTAACAGGCCTGCCTGTATAATCTATAAAAGTGGCATGAAACAAACATACCTCACGATTTCAAAATATGCAAAGTGACAAAAACTAAAATTGGTAGGCTAATAAACTAAGTGAACAGATGCCTTTGCTTATTAGATTTTGGTTGGTTAAAAAAATTACTAACAACAATGGGAACATTTACTTTAATTTACAATTATACATCAAACTACATTTCTGCAAGAAATAAAAATACCCACATTCTGGAATCACTTCATAAACATTGCTTGAAGCTGACTCAAGAAGTTTTTCTTTAGGGAAGTCGATAGTTCCATCAGCAGACTTGCATGAAAATTTTTGGCCTTTATCTGTTCGCTGGACAGAACTGAGTTCTAATTCATTCTTAGCATTTATGTTGATCTGCAAAGGGGAAAAAATTGGAAGATATTTTCTAAAATCAATAGTTTAAATGAACTATAATTTAAAAAGAGTCTAAACTAAGTTAGTGGCCTTACACCATCTCAAATGATAAATTACTAGGTGAGATAGAAATGGAAGCAGTTTCCAAAATAATTGGAAAAAAAGATGGCACTGAATTAAGAAGAATGGATCAAGAAGACATTGCAGGAATGGTGCTAAACTGGATGCCTCAAGGAAAAAGAAAGCAAGGAAGGTCAAGGGAGATGTGGAGGCACACAGCTGGGAAGCAGAGGCAGGACTGTCATGGGGGACTGCCAGGAAAATAGCAGGTGAGAGACAAAAGTGGAGGTTTTTTTTTGTGGCGGCCCCATGTGTCTTGTGCACAAAAAGGAAAAGATGATAATTGAAATAAAAGTAAAGCACTGTATTTGACATGTTGAAACATGAACACGATAAACATAGTCAAAGAATAAGATTCTGTTATTGTTTTTAAAGACACAAAAACTTACTTTATTTGCTTTAAATCAGCATTTAATTTATATTATAGGTTTTATGTAAAATAATTTTGATTTTAGTTAAAAAATTATAACTTACTCTAGGTTTAGATCCTGAAACTAGGTAAACTCCATTTTGGTCCATCCACCAAACCAGAGTGGGAAGACCATGGTCAGGGGGTAGAGCCAATGAGTTTGTTGTACAAGAGAGTTTAAGTGTTTCACCTTCCAGTGGGCTGGACAATACTGTAATCACTGGGGGATTGGGTTTGCCTGGGAGGAATGAAATAATTTATATACTTTAGTGACATCGATCTCATAAGTGGGAACAAAATCTTAACGACTGTTAAATAAGGAAAATAATTTGTAGTATTAATATCTAGATGCTATTATGATAATAAAAATTATACTTTGATGTAGATCTTTTTAAGGAAATATTTCATGTAACATTTTATGTGGGGTCCACTCTGGAATGGATCATACATTAAATAGATAAAAATCAGCTTTGGACTAATCAGCAACTTTGCCATAATTATTAATCACATTTATATTTATGTGACCAGCATGTAGGGCTCACAATATCTATTAGTTGGCATCACAAGAGTTATCTTATCCTTAAGAATTAGCTTCAAAATGATACTAAGAATACATGATGCAAACTGAGGAAATATAGAAATACATAATGTATACTCACGTAAGACAATCAGCATCTGCCCACAGTTATCTAGAGCAACATCACTTGAGCCATGAAAACATTTATAGTTGCCAGCATCTTGAGCTCTAACAGATTTTATATTGATTTCCACTTTCCTTTCTGACTTATTCACTGTCACAATAATGTCATTGGGTTTGTTTGGTTTAAAAGCCCAAGTATTTGGAAACAGATAAACAACTGTACCAACAGTTAAGTTATTTGTGATGGTAATTAGAACGGCATCATTTGCTAGCTGTGTATTGGGTATGATAATTGTCAGCTTGGCAGCTACATTTTCTAAAGATGTTACAGCAGGCTGTATCTGGGATGAGACATCTGGAATATAAACAAAACATTTTAAATTTATACTCTTGAAAACAGAGGCGTAGCGACCCTTCCCGGCGCCCGGGGCGAACTTTCAATTTGGCGCCCCCCCCCGCTTATATATATATATATATATATATATATATATATATATATATATATATATATATATATATATATATATATATATATATATATATATATATATGTGTATATATATATATATATATGTGTGTGTGTGTGTGTGTGTATAATTATGTGTGTGTGATAGTGTGTTTATATATAAGCTTGTGTGTGGGTAAGAGTGTATTCGTGTGTGTAAGCGTGTGTGTAAGCGTGTATGCTACAGTCCGGACAAGGTTTAATAATTACATTGTATGATTTTCATTCCTTAAAACTTTACGACAATTTAATTCCCATTAAGATGCGTTTAACTTTTTTTTGCGAAAGATTAGTAATGTCAGTAAAAAAAAATAAGCCTGATCTGTGTTAGAGGGTAAATTGTAGCTAACGCTAATATGTTTAGACCAGCCTTTTATGTTCTAGTTTTGAACGATCTCTGTTGTGATATGGTGCATAGTTGGATTCGAAGTTTGTTAGAGTAAGGACACACAAGTAACATACAAGAAGAAGTTATCAGAAATATTTATTGTTCACATTGGAATACGACATGGGTATTTCGTTGATTGGTTGATGGTATGACAAAACAAGCTAGAGAAAACAAACTGGAATCCAACGGATGTTAACAGCTCGTAGTCTTGGATTTCGCAGATTTGCCCTGCCTTCTCGCACACAGTTTCTTCCAGGCATCTTTTCGGGGGGGGGGGCGAAGCCCCCCGGAAAAATTTTTACGCCCCCCCGAACGAAATGAAATTTATATAATTTATATATAGAAAATATATACTTTTAACAGTGTCCGCCCCCTCCCCCGAAGAAAGTTTACCGCCTCCCCCCTCCCCCCGAAGATTTCAAGTGCCCCCCCCCGGAGAAAAAAGTCTGGAAGAAACACTGATCAAAAGTATCTGATCTCTCACGTTGAAGTTGAGAGAATCGTTAGAATCTTACAAAGAACTAGTCGCGTCTTTTTTTTTTAACAAAACTGGCTATTGAAATTGTACATTACGCGTTAATACACTTGGTTTCTTTACTAAGTGTTAAGAGAGTTATCTACTCACCAATCCAGTACAAATACTTGCGATTTTTGTTAGCGAAAAAAGCCCCCCCCCCCCACCCCCACACACACTCATCACAACCATCTTGGACAAAGTTTGTAGAGCGGTTTTTAACGTAACTAACTTTTTAAAAAAAAATGTTACACAATTATACAATGCACAGTACAATTCGTTTCTTTCTGAGAGCTACAGGTTGTTTACTCAGAATCCTGTGTAATTTTGCTATTTTATTTAGCCTAAAAGCGCCCCCCTGCACCATCTTGATAAAAGTCACTAACGTATTTTACAGTTCAACAATCGTACAATACGTTTTAATACAATTGGTTTCTTTTAATAGTGGTAACGTTTATCGACTCAACAATCTAGTGTAAATTCTTCCGTTTTAAGTCTCGAAAAAGCGCCCCCCCCCCCCCCCCATCTAGGAAAAGCTTCAAAGCGGTTTTGCCGGTCACTGTTTCTTAAGAGTATATGTTTTACATTAAGAAATCAAGATAGAAAACAGTTAAATCAGTATGTAAATGCGTGTAGCCATTACATTTCTCAACTTAGACAGTTTATAATTCAAAACTGCAGCATAAAATCAGCTTTAAAAATTTTTTCCCACCCCTTTTGGCGCCCCCATAGGGTCGGCGCCCGGGGCGGCCGCCCCCCCCGCCCCCCCCTAGCTACGCCTCTGCTTGAAAATGTTACATGTACAGAAATTGTGAAGATTCCTCTTTTGACCTAGCGATCCATTGGGCAGATGAAGTAGAGTTCATAATATTTCTTGACCTTGAAATATGAAGAGTTGGTGTGGTCTACACTATACCCAACCGCCCTTACTTTTCCCAACTAAGTCAGGAACCCAGGATGTCCTAACGTTCACAAATCCGAAACGAGAACTGAACTTGAGACTTCGGACTAGCATTCAACCGCTTTACCATTCGACCCCTCCGTCCCTGTAAGATTGTAAGTTCGGGCGATTTAACTTGGGCTGGGTCTACATCTGAAATTTAGTCTTGGATCATGGGACTATTATATTATTAAGTTATAGGAACTCTAAGATTCCAGTCCTGCCTTCCCCCCCCCCCCTCATTATCCCGCCACTGACCAACAGTAGTCACTTTTGATGATTTAAACATAAACCTACTGCTTGTCTCAGTTCAGGAATGGCTAATAGCCAACGTAAAGGGGCATAACCAAGTTAGGATTATTTTGCTGAAAGTATTAAATGGGTAGTTTCTGTTAGTAATGAAATCTGTCATCACACTTCAAAGTAGCAATACAAATGTAAACAAATCCGGATCAAGAGTACTCACACCCTTAACAGTCGCGCGCTTTACAGTGTGACCACGCCTTCCCTCTCCATAAAAAAAGGACGTAAAAAATAATCTACGTCACATTAGTGTACACTCACTGCTTGTTTAACACTTTAGCATAGTCGCCTTTTTAGAACACTCAATTTTATGATTCATTTCATCTACGATCGCGTGTAGGCGGAAGTGTGTTTTGACCTTGAGATTCTGTGAACTGTAATCACTAAGTGTGTGAGTAATTTGTTCACATTTGCAAAGAAACATTATCTGTAATTAAAAGTGTCGTTTACGCCGTTGGATATTCACTTCAGCTATTTGAAATATACGATTGCAATGAAGTAGGACAGGGTGTGTAGGCAGAGGCGTAGCGAGGGGGGGGGGGCGGGGTGCGGACCGCACCGGGTGACACCATTTAGGGGGGTGACACCAAAGCAAAAAATAGCAAAATATACAGAGAGAAATTTGAGGGAAGGTGCAAATCGATAGTTTGAGAGGGGGGTGCAAATCGAAAGTTTGAGGGGGGTGCGAATCGAAAATTTGAAAGATTGTCACCGGGAAGGGTCGCTACGCTTCTGGGGGGGGGGGGGGGGGGGGGGTGACACAATTAAGTGCCGCACCGGGTGACAACCTACCTCGCTATGCCATTGTGTGTAGGCCTACGTGTTGTAGGAGCTAGCACGAATTGGGAGGGGGAGAAATGTATAGTTTTGTTATACTGTTATTTGTTATATGGATCTGGTTGTTTGGTGTTATATTAAAGCTTTATGAACTAAGAGGCTCTCCATCCACTCGCAAATCGAACCCGTGACTTATGTGTGTAGTTTGTTGTTCGCTACTTCGTCCGACCATTTTTTCATCATAAACGTTGTGTATATTTTCTACTGATAGCTATGGGGTCATCCATAAATGACGTCACGCTTTTTTGGACGATTTTTACCCCCCTCCCCTCCGTCACACGTCGTCACAAAAAGCCAGACCCCCTAAAATGAGGTCACACCTCAACCTACAACCCCCCCCCCTGCCTCAAAATTGCAGTTGAATTTTTTTTTTAACATCGATATTTTTCTAACATCTTGTCTGAACTCTGTCAAAATAGAGTATTTTAATCAATTCCTATTACAATTTATTAAAACAGTTTTCTAAAACGCGAAATAACGTTTAAAATTCGTTAAAAATAAAAAAGTGTAACGTCGCACCATTTGAATCCCCCCCCCCCTCCCGCTCATCACACACCGTCACAAAATTACGGATCCCCCTCCCCCCCCCCCCCTACGAATGTGACGTCATTTATGGACGACCCCGATTGGCCAATTGCGTTATTTTGACTCCCGTTTGTTTATTTATTTCTAGACTGCGTACCAGCAAAACGTGTTAAAACTGTACCAGCAAAACATGTTAAAACTGTACCAGCAAAACGTATTAAAACTGTACCAGCAAAACATGTTAAAACTGTACCAGCAAAACGTATTAAAACTGTACCAGCAAAACATGTTAAAACTGTACCAGCAAAACGTGTTAAAACTGTACCAGCAAAACGTATTAAAACTGTACCAGCAAAACATGTTAAAACTGTGCTAGCAAAACGAAAAAAACTACCAAAACGTTAAAACTGTACCAACAAAACGTTAAAACTGTACCAGCAAAACGTTTGAAAACTGTACCAGCAAAACGTTAAAACTGTACCAACAAAACGTTAAAACTGTACCAGCAAAACGTTTGAAAACTGTACCAGCAAAACGTTAAAACTGTACCGACAAACGTTAAAACTGTACCGACAAACGTTAAAACTGTACCGACAAACGGTAAAACTGTACCGACAAACGTTAAAACTGTACCAGCAAAACATGTTAAAACTGTACCAGTAAAACGTTAAAACTGTACCGACAAACGTTAAAACTGTACCGACAAACGTTAAAACTGTACTAGCAAAACGTTAAAACTGTACCAGCAAAACATGTTAAAACTGTACCAGCAAAACGTGTTAAAACAATCACATACAAGTCTATGTTAATTCAGCAACTCACATTGAAAGTATTGGACCAAAATTCCACATAGCATCAGATAGCGCTTCATCCTCCACCAGTGTAGATCACATGTACACTATAACTTACTATAAGGCAAACAGCCCAGTCAATGATTCATTCATATCTCGACTACCCATTCAAGACGGGAATCAGACAGTTTCGTTTTCGGGGAAATAACTCTAAAAATAGTTTCGTTTCCGGGAATACCGAAAGTGACAGGACAAAAGGGTGTCATCTTTTTTTAGCGCATTTTCCATTCTGGAGAATTTCGTTTATTAACTTGTCATTTTTGGGAATGGATGGATGAATGAATGAATGAATGTATGGATGAATGTGTGTCCGGGCTTTAAGTCGTATCTCCTCCTCAACGAAGCAATATCGATGACTAGTTCCAAAAGCAATTATGTTAAGCAAGTTACGAGAATGAGCATAGGCCATAAAAGTTCCGGGTTTCTTTCATGTATTTCCCGGAAAAGCCAAAAAACCTCGAAAAAATTCAGTTTTTGGCCCATATCTCGGCAACCAGACCACTTAGCGACTTGAAACATGTACCAATCGATTTCTGTCATAATTTAGAACAATATTGCCGAAGAAAGTTTTCAAAAATATCCTCTCGTTCGGTCACAAATTTTAAAATTACATAAACACCTACAAACCGATCGTTCTTCTAGCTTGAACGCACCCCAGTATTATACGTCAGAGCTATTTTTAGATAACATAAGGAAATTGCGCATGTCACTAGACTTTTTTTAATTAACTTGTTTTCTTATTCTTCGTTCTAAATTCTAATGCTGGAAGAGATTCCTTTCAACACAATTAAGTATTACGTGTCAACTTGTTATGCGCCATATAGGCCGTTAACTCCGATTTCAGCCTGCTTTTCTTTTTGGATTCTGCTTCCACAGCCTTTGTCCAACCAAGAACAAAACGAAAGGGTCGACGCGTACTAATTAAATGATCTATAAAAAGGGTGTCTTTTGTTGAAAAAAATACACACACACATACATATATAGTGACTATATGTATACATGTATATACGTATTTACATAAACTCACTAGACACAAAAACTGTTTCGATTTCTCAAGTACTTTATTGTTGTAATGAATGTATTTACAGAGTAACGAGCCGACACGCGTTGTAGCATACGACGATATTTCGTTGTTGTATTTTCAACTTTTCAGTTATTCATAATTTGTGAATTCGACAGTACCAATGCTGCGACTGTAAATACGGCTTTAAAACACTATCAGTAGCTCGTGAAGGAAGATTATACCCCCTGTTCCCAACCCCTCCCCCCCCCCACCATCCCCTGGAAAGCAGCCCCCTCTTAGTTACCTCCCCTTAGTTTCAAATTGTTTAAAAACTAGATTATCTGCCGTTAATAGCCGTCACTAATTCGACCCGGCTCTACAGTTGTAAACATTGGGCATGAACTATAGCTCACCAGACTGGAGAGTGAGGGAGGGAGCGGGAGGAGGTTTAGAGAGTCGGCTTGCTGCTTCGTGCTGTCCATGAAAAGTATTATTTACAAAGTAATTACAACGAGCCGACCCGCGACATATCATACGCCGCTATTTAGTTGTTTTATTTTCTACTTTTCAGTAATTCATAATTTGTGAATTCGACAGTACCAATGCTGCCACTGAAAATATTTGCTTTAAAACACTATCAGTAGATCGTTTTAAGGACGATACTACCCCCAACCTCCTTTCCCCCAACCCCTACCCAACCCCCCCCCCCCCCCCCCCGTGAAAGAAGCCTCCTCTTAGTTACCTCCCCTAAGTTTAAAATCGTTTCAAACTAAATTATCTGCCCCTAATAGCCGTCACTAATCCCAGCTCTATGATTGTAAACATTTAGCGTGAACCAAAGCTCACCAGACCATGTAGGGGTGGGGTGGTAGGGAGCGCGCTTACAGCTTGTTTTCTAGCGTTTCCCAGAAGAGGATTTTATATATAGATTCATGAAAGGTACACACAATTATTCATTTGTCAGCGAACTACTGCAAGTCCCCCCCCCCTTTCATCAATATCTCCTATAGCACATTTTCAACCAGATTTTGTTTTATCTGTCAATTGCCAAGTAGATATAAAGTTCTTTGTCACTGATTTTAGTTAAACAACACACAAGGTGTGTAATTCGTAGAGTGTTCAACATTTTACATTTGTATAGTGGGAGCCTGGGGAAAAAATGAATAATAAATACATTTGATACAAACCTAAACATCAGATCCTAAATTACAACAATAAGACTCACCAAAATATTATATGGGAAAAGTAGTGAGAAATACAAAAGTCGCATATTAATTTTATAATATGTGCACAATGTCTGATTCGACTAATACTAATAATTACAAGCATTGTTGTTATATCATTCAAGTGTGCAGAGTTTCTTCCAGGCATCTCGCCCTCCCCCCACCCCCTAGAGTTTCTTCCAGGCATCTCTTCGGGGGAGACTAAGCACCCCCGAAAAAAATTCTACCCCCCCCCCCCCCCGAAAATTTCAAGCAGCCCCCCCCCCCCCCCGGAGAAAAAAGTCTGGAAGAAACACTGCCCCCCCCCCCCCCCCACCCCCGAACGAAATGAAATTCATATAGAAAATATGTATATACTTTTAACATTGTCCGCCTCCCCCCCCCCCCGACGAAAATTTCAAGTGCCCCCCCCCCCCCCCGGAGAAAAAAGTCTGGAAGAAACACTGCAAGTGTGTGTTTTCCACGTGATCTAAATAAAACCCCACAAGTGATCTATTGTTTCATAATTAATTAAGTTCCTTTTCAAAGTGGCCCAATGCGAAAATTAGATGTTTTAAAACGTAATCAAATTTAGATTATCCAACAAATTGTAATAGACAACAAGAATGCTCTACACTGCAACAAGTTACACAAATGTCATATCTCAACAAAAGCTTCTATGATATGCAGTGACAAACACGAGTCAAACTTAACTGGTACAGATGGTATTTGGAAAAAAAGTAGAAATTGAAGTTAAGTGTAGTGTGTTTGGCAATCACATTCAGCACTTTCGGTCATAATGTTCATTTGTTGCATGTGAATGTACATAGGCTTAGGGTAAATATTGTAGAGTGAAACTGTGTGATGTACGTTTCATGTTGTACTGAGTTCAACAGTTCTGAAATTGAAACGATGTTGTGGTTTGGGCTAAATATAAAATGGAACAATGGGGTGTATGCACGTAAGTTAGGGAGGGGAAATAATAACATTTAAACGTTAGTATCGAGATGCTATATGTTGGGATGATGTTGGATTATTGGATACATTTTTAAACTGTTGCTATAATATGTTGCCATCATCTAAACCAGTCTCCACACTCACCGTCCGAGTTCCCACTTGATGGTGGGTCATCCACAATAGTTACATATTCAGGGTCTTTCAGAAAAAAAAGAAAATTATCTTTTATACAACATACTGCAAACAAAAATTAAATAATTATTTTAACTGCATAATATATTATAAATTGTCGCCGTTGTATATTAACATCTGTCAAACTTATCTCCAAACTTACCAGCTGAGTTTCTGTTTACTGGTGAGCCATCAACAAACGTCAAATATTCAGGGTCTTTCCAGAAAGAAAGATATTTAATTATTTTTAAGATACTGTAAAAAGTTAAATAGGCATAATTATTTTAACTTAATTTATACTGTTTATTTATCTCTTGCTATATTAGCAACAAATGCCAACAGCTGCAATAGTTACAGCCAGTTTTTCTTCCAGACTTATTTCTCCCCCCCCCCCCCCCCCAAAGAAATGCCTGGAAGAAACTCTGGTTACAGCCTACACAGTCCTACCTTACTTTAATTTTTATCAGTACAAGGTAAAACATTTTAAATCTCACTTTTTAAAAAAATGTGTATTATACATTTTGAGCAACATTATGTTAGAAAAAACTGACCTAATTTATTTCAAGAAAGTAGATCTATTTAACTTAATAATGAAATAATGAATATTATTTTTTTTTTGTCAACATCAAATAGATCCATTAAAAAAACATTACTTTCTGTACGTGAATGTTGAAGACTATCATATAGGCCTACATTTCCAATAGAGTAGGAGGCTGAAAAGTATTTTAAAGTCATGAGTAACTTACATTATTTTTTAACTTTGAAATACAGAAAGTTAAAAGAAAAGAAAAAAATGTACAAACTAAAAGAATTGAAAATTATCAAACAAATGGACATGAACAGTGTTAATGGGAAATATTGTCCGATTTCATTAATAATAATTTTTAGTCTTTAAATTGTTTTAAAATAAATGTGTTCCTATAATAGCAATGTTTTATTGAAATAAGATGTGTTTTTAACATAATTAATGTAGTGTAATATCTTATAATTAATAAAGCTCAATATTCACACTTGATACTAACCTACTGCTGATGTTTCTGAAAAGAAATATTAAAATAATTTAATGTTTGAAATAATAATTTAATAAATTTGGCCACTCATTAAACAGTTTCAATATATTTTAAAAACTGATCCTTTTACCATGAAAGCTATATATAATAGATTGACGACAGAAGCCTGTGGTTGTATATAACACATTTAATGGGTCTAACTACCACGATGGTAAGACACCGAGAGGACGGAAGCAAGTACACAAGGGACATCACTCAAGATAACAATATTATAAATATAACTAATACAGAAGAGTGAGTTCCCTTGACCTCACAATTATTTCAATCTATTACATCCCTTTACCCTTAGAACACAATAACACATCTCTCAATAGAACAATTGATAGTATCCTAAAATCACCAATTATATTGTAACATGAACATTATGGTAGATTACATCCTTACAAACAATGCACAATATGCCACAACATAATCAAGATACAAAACAATGATGTCAAAGTCCTTTTGACCATTAAAATCATAGGTCTAACTTATTGGGGACTTTGATTGTCCTGCTTGACCTTCTCAGTGGCTTTTGATTTGGTGACTCAATATTCTGACCATTTGGATTCCCTATCTCAGGAGGTCTAGGATTTAAATCATTAACTCCAGGATTTACATTTTCTGACTCCAGACAACTTGGTTCACTCATATCAACAGAACTTGGTTGTGGAACAAACTGAGTTGGTGTGAACTGATCAGACTTGGTGGGATTGACAGATTCACACTTATTATCTGCACAAGTTATTTTTAACTGGTCTGCATGTCTACGGACAATAAGTCCATCATTTGTTTTTACTTTATAAGACACAGGTCCTGTACATTGAACAATTTGACCTGGTATCCATTTTTCCTTTCTCCCATAATTTCTTAGATACACATTGTCATTAACTGCAAATTCTCTTTCAATGGATGATTTGTCATGATTTACTTTTTGTGTATGTTGATGTTGGGAAACAGACCTTTGAACAGTTGGATGTAGTAGGTCAAGATGAGTTTTAATTTTCCTACCACATAGCAATTCACATGGTGCAACACCTGTTGTTATATGAGGAGTTGTGCGGTATTTGGTTAAGAACCTGTTTACTCTTTCTCTAAGAGAAAACTTGTTACCGGTATTCATTTTTACCATAGCGGTTTTGAATATGCCTACCGCTCTTTCAGCTAAACCATTCCCAGCAGGATGATAGGGGGATGTGGTTATATGCTCAATACCATTTGCCACACAAAACAGATTAAACTCATGAGCTGTGAAACTAGGCCCATTATCTGAAACAATTTGATCTGGTAATCCATGAGTTGAAAATATTTCCTTAAGTTCTATAATGGTATCATTTGCAGTGATTGTGTTCATGATTTTAACTTCTAACCATTTAGAATGTGAATCAATAACAATTAAGAACATTTTGTTCATGAAAGGTCCTGCGAAATCTATATGTATACGTTTCCATGGTTCGATTGGCCAGTCCCAGTTTTGCAAAGGTGCTGTAGCTGGTTGATTTGAATGTTGTGCACAGCTTGAACAAAGTTTTACATATTTTTCAATATCAGCATCCATATGTGGCCACCAGAACCATGATCTTGCTAGACTCTTCATTTTGGAAGAACCAAGATGAGTATCATGTAAAGTTCTTAAAACTTCTTTTTGTAACATTTTGGGGATAATTACTCTTGACCCCCATAGTATACATCCATCTTCTAGACTTAACTCTGTTTTTCTTATTTTATATGGCTTTAAGTCCTCATTCACTGACTCTTCAGGCCAACCATTCTTACAGTACTCATATACTTTTATTAAGCACTCATCTTTTTGTGTTTCTCTCTTAATATCATTCACATTTATATTGGAGTTATCCATGATAGTGAAGAGAACAAATACATCTTCTGGTACATAGCTCAGGCTTTGGTTTTTTAAAGGTAATCTACTAAGACTATCTGCACTATTCTCAGATCCAGGTTTGTATTTCAATTCATAATTGTATGCAGTTAGTGTGATAGCCCATCTTTGAATTCTTGGTGAGGCATGCTCAGGTAGGGTTTTGTTTTCTCCAAATAAACCTAGCAATGGTTTATGATCTGTAAAGATGGTGAACTTCCTACCAAACAGAAACTTATGAAATTTCTTAACACCAAAAATGATGCCTAAGCCTTCCCTATCTAACTGAGAATAATTTTTCTCAGCCTGGTTCAAAGATCTACTGGCAAAAGCAATGGGTCTGTCACCCTTCTCATCCATGTGGGACAAGACTGCTCCTACACCATCTGGTGAAGCATCACATGTTAATATAAGTCTTTTCCCTGGGTCATAGTGAGTTAGTAAGGTGTCAGCAGACAAAGCCTCTTTTGCTGTATTAAAAGCAGCTTCTTGTTGTTTACCCCAGTGCCAAGTTGCATTTTTCTGTAGCAGCTTGTACAGTGGTGATAGTTTACCAGACAGATTTCCTATGAACTTTGCATAGTAATTTATCAAGCCCAAAAAAGCTCTTAGTTGTTGGGTATTTTCAGGTTTGGGTGCTTCTTTAATGGCTTTTGTTTTCTCAGGTTGAGGTCTGATGCCTTGCTTGCTTAATATATAACCAAGAAAACTAATTTCTGTCAACATGAATTGACATTTATCTTTGTTTATCTTTAAACCTTTTTCACCAACAATTTTTAATACTTTATCAAGTGTTTTAAGATGTTCAGTGTCATTCTTACCAGTTATGTACACATTGTCAAAGTAAACACAAACATTTGGAATATCCTTAAAAATACTGTCCATGACAGCTTGGAAAATTCCAGGGCTAGATGATATGCCAAAACATAGTCTTTCATATTGGTAGAGTCCTTTATGTGTGTTTATTGTCGTATAGACTTTTGAATCTGGATGCAGTTCTAGTTGAGTGTAAGCATGACTAAAGTCTAATTCAGTGAATTTGTCTCCTCCTGCCAAATTCAAAGAAATTTCCTCAATGTTAGGTATAGGGTACCTATTTAGCTCTATTTGCTTATTCAGTGTAGTTTTATAATCTCCACAAATTCTTATAGAACCATCCTTCTTTAACACTGGCACAATGGGTGTCGCCCAATCGGAATAGTCTACCTTCTTTATAATGCCATTAGATTCCAATCTACTTAGCTCATTTTCAATTTTATTCCTCATTGCATAAGGTGGAACTCTAGCTTTGCAGTATCTTGGATTTGTATCTTTAATGCTTAACTTCACTGTTCTATCATTTAGTAATCCATAGTTACCAAAAACACATTTATTTTCAGATATAACTTTATCTAGTGAAGTAAGACTAGATTCTTTTACATTCTTCAATGAACAAATACTCTCCCAATTTAACTTAAGATCACTTAACCAGTTCCTACCTAGTAATGGCGGTCCATTTCCTTCAACCACAAGAAGAGGAAGTTTAACACTTTGACCATTATAACTTACATGAACCATACACTCTCCTATTACCGGAACATTGTCACCAGTGTATGTTGTTAGACACTTGTGACACGGCTGTAGAGACACTGATCCTCCTGTGACAGCGTCAAAATCTTTCTTTGTTATGACTGTTAGAGATGCTCCAGTGTCAAGTTGGAAGCTGATGCTCTTACCGTTGATATAAACTGGTACATTGATGGGAGCATGACTTATTGATTTCACAGAGAACAGGTTGAAATCCGGCTGCGAATCAGTTTGAGCATTTTCACAGGTAGAGTGGTTCATTGGTTGGGTTAGGTAGTCTTGGTGAGAGTTAACATAGTGCTGCCTTTGGTTGCGGTACTGTCTTGACTGGCTAGATTTAGCAACAGACGAAGACTTTGCAAAGCAGGCCTTGGCAATGTGACCTTGCTTACTGCACTTATAACAAGTTGCAGACTTGAACTTGCACCGATGAGATGCATGGGGACCTTTGCATCGATGACATTTTTGATAATTATTACTAGATTTAGATCTAGGATTTGAACGAGCAGGCTGTTTAGCATAAGTTGGAATGCTCTGATGGGGTTGATGTTTGTTGACTAACCTGCTGTTTACTGCATGGATCCCTGAAGGCGTAAGAGATTTCGCCGCATCTGATGACTGCTGGAATGAAGTTGCAAGTTGTATTGCTTTTTCTAATGTTAGATCTGACTCGAGCAGCAACTTTCTTTGAATATCAGGGCTGTTTACACCTGTCACAAACTTTTCACATAGTCTGTCAGACAGCGTTTCTCCAAATTCACAGAATCTACTTAAATGACGTAAAGCAGCAACATATTCTAATATTGACTCGTTTGGTTGACGAGTCCTACTGTCAAATCTAGCTCTACATAAAAACTTTGATGGGGTAGGCGCCTGGTGGTCTGTTAGCAATTTGCTCAGCTCGTTAAAGCTCTTGGTAGTTAGACTAGCTGGTGCGCATAAGTCTTTTAGTAGCCTAAATTGTTGAGGCCCTATGACTGTTAACAAAACAGCTCTCTTTTTGGCTTCTATCGTCACGTCGTTAGCTTCTAGGTAAAAGCTTAACCTCTCTAGGTAATCTTGAATGATTTCATCATTCGCATCAAATTCTTTTATTTGGCCATACAGCGCCATAATTCTAGAAATAATTAGCTAATAAGCTCTAGCAAACCTCTTTTTTGCGTAAGTAGGTGCTCTTTTTAGTAGATGTTTATCCTTCGTCGCCAGTTATAATAGATTGACGACAGAAGCCTGTGGTTGTATATAACACATTTAATGGGTCTAAATACCACGATGGTAAGACACCGAGAGGACGGAAGCAAGTACACAAGGGACATCACTCAAGATAACAATATTATAAATATAACTAATACAGAAGAGTGAGTTCCCTTGACCTCACAATTATTTCAATCTATTACACTATAGTTAACTTTTTCTTACTTGAAGTGCACTTAATTCATGTTACTATAAAGGTTTTTTTTAAATTCATGTTTATTTCGTTATTTAGTATTTACGGACCATATAATTCTTCAGTCAATATTTATTTTAAAGCTGGTTTAGTGTTATGCTTAGTAAGGTGTAGTCTATAAGCGCATGACAAAAAAATTTCTTTTTACCCTATCAATAGATTGCAATAAATGAAATGAACTCTGACAAAGTAATACGCTGCCGCTTTACTTAATCTTCCCTAAAACATTCAGGTCCAAAATGATAACTTTACTTTTACTACTAATAAGATAAATAATGGGTGTGGAATATTTGTATTTTTTAAATTAATCTTTTACCTGTTCTGGGTGAATGTTGTATATTTTCATAAAGGACTATATTTCCAATAGAGTTGTCAAAAGAGCAGATCAAAATAATAAAAAAAATTATATACTTTATAAATTAACGCCGTTGTATATTAATATCAGTCAAACTTATCTCCAAACTTACCGGCTGAGTTTCTATTTACTGATGAGCCATCAACAAATGGTAAATATTCAGGGTCTTTCCAGAAAAAAAGATATTTAATTATTTATTTTTAAAATACTGTAAAAAGTTAAATAGGCCTAATTATTTTAACTTAGCTTATAATATGTATATATCTCTTGCTATATTGCAACTAATGCCAATAGCTGCAATAGTTACAGCCTACACAGTCCTACCTTACTTTAATTTTTATCAGTACAAGGTAAAATATTTTAAATCTCACTTTAAAAAAAAAATGTGTATTATACATTTTGAGCAACATTATGTTAGAAATGTAGGATTTAATATTACATAGATTTTTTTAGAAAAAAACTGTGACCAAATTTATTTCAAGAAAGTAGATCTATTTAACTTAATATTGAAATAATGAATATTAAGTTTTTTGTCAACATCAAATAGATCCATTTAAAAAAAATTTACCTTCTGTAGGTGAATGTTGAAGACTTTCATATAGGCCTACATTTCCAATAGAGTAGGAGGCTGAAAAGTATTTTAAAGTCATGAGTAACTTACATTATTTTTTAACTTTGAAATACAGAAAGTTAAAAGAAAAGAAAAAATTGTACAAACTAAAAGAATTGAAAATTATCAAACAAATGGACATGAACAGTGTTGATGGGAAATATTGTCCGATTTCATTAATAATAATTTTTAGTTTTTAAATTGTTTTAAAATCAATGTGTTCCTATAATAGCAATGTTCTATTGAAATAAGGTGTGTTTTTTACATAATTAATGTAGTTTAATATCTTATAATTAATACTGCACAATATTCACACTTGATACTAACCTACTGCTGATGTTTCTGAAAAGAAAAATTAAAATAATTTAATGTTTGAAATAATAATTTAATAAATTTGGTCACTCATTAAACAGTTTCAATATATATAACAACTGATCTTTTTACCATGAAAGCTATAGATAGTTGGCTTTTTCTTACATGAAGTGCACTTAAAACCATGTTACTATACTGGATTTTTTAAAAATACATGTTTCTTTCAAGTTTTTTTTAGTAATTACAGACCATATAAATTCTTCAGTTAATATGTAATTTAAAGCTGGTTTAGTGTTATGCTTAGTAAGGTGTAGGCTATTTGCGCATGACAAAAAAATTCTTTATACCTTATCAATAGCTTGTAATAAATGAAATGAACTCTGACGAAGTATCACGATGCCGCTTTACTTCATCTTCCCTAAAACATTCAGCTCCAAAATGATAACTTTACTTTTACTAATAAGATAAATAATGGTTGTGGAATATTTGTATTTTTAAAATTAATCTTTTACCTGCTCTGGGTGAATGTTATATATTTTCATAAAGGACTATATTTCCAATAGAGTTGTCTAAAGAGCAGATCAAAATAATAATTGTTTTTTTAATGGTAATATTTACAACTCTAAAATTTAGAAAAATAAATAAACATCTTGTGAAAAGGAAGATAATAGAAACTAATAATTTCAAACTTATTAGTTGAAAGCAACTGTCAGTATTTAATAGAACAATCCCAAAATTGCAGAGCACATAAATAGTTTTAGAGTTAGTATATAGCTTTTGGTTCCCTCGGTTGTGATTTTTCTTTTCTTTCAAATTTAATGTTAAACTGGAGTTAAACGCCCATGCAGCAGGACATGACAACTTAGAGGCATGTTTATCGATAGGCGTACTAACCTGGAGCTAATGTTCCTCTTTGTCTTTTTGTCCCCAAACAGTTGAAAAATCTTAGGCAAACAACTGGAGCTCTATTTAAACAGAATGTGTTAATTTTTTATTAATGTTTTTTAAAGATATTGTGGAAATGTGAGTTTATGATTCAGGTACATATGTATGATGTTGATTCAAAATTATAAGGCAATTAAATATTTAAAATATTTTGCAAGCTGACCCATTCTCAGTCGTTATAGTTGTCCTCTCTTTTTCTGAAAATAAAAACGTGAGTAGTTTTTATTATGTGAATGAACAACAAGATACCCAATAAAATAAAACTTATGACTTATGGTGTAAGAAATCTAATCAGTTGCCATATTAATTGATAATGAAAAGAGAACTTAAATGTTGCAAAGCTAAATTTAAAAAAAAATACTTATTGCACATTTCTATCTAACTAAATTGTTAGTCACTGGCTGATGAAATGGAATTCCCTATTTCCATGTCTACAGCATGTAAACAGATTATTTTGTCAGCTTTAGACTCAGACAAAAGGTCTGGTCTTGCTAGGAAATTGAGAAAATAGATTAAAATTTAAACTAAAAACCAGCTTACTAATTTTTTTTCTCAAAACTAGGAGGTATATGACAAGACAAATGATGACAATAAGGGTCAGAACTCCAAAAACAACTCCTGCAATAGCTCCAGCAGACAAGGGCTCATCAAGGGCAGCTGTTGAAAAATAAAAACAGCATTGTAAATGTGTTGATAAAACAAAATAGTTGGTTTTGCACTACTTTTTTGGCTAAAACTAAAAGTATTAAATTTATCATATGCAAATATGGATTATGGTAGAACATGCTTACAGCATGCCACTATTTAAGGCTAGTAAAATGTACATGGATCTAATGAGGAATATTTATTAACAATTACCCACTGTCTTAGAAAAAGACCGTCGTTTAAATTTTTACTACTTACGATAATTGCTTATATATTCTTAATACATGATGATTAAAAGCAATAATTCTGTATTTGCTTCCCTATGATAGAAATTAACACAAATTCACAGCCTGACTTTAAAAAAAACCTGTAGTTTTAATCCGCAGTGGCTCAGATTCAGCCTGTCCTAACACATTGATGGCCACAACTTTCATTTCATACTCTGTACTTGCAGACAGAGATTTCACAATTGCCTCATTCCAGACTTCTAGCGCCATCATTGGTTGGATGTTTTCAACAGCAACACTCCATTCACCATCCATCTAAAAATATTTAATTTAACAATTTATAAATATTTCAAATGTATCATACAAAATAACAATAGCAAACACAGCAGCAAAGTGAATCATTAATGAAATTTAAATGTTAAATTGACAAAACTTACTTTGCTAGAGTATGGACGATAATAAATAGAGAATGTTTGCTTTTCTCCTCCATCAAAGCCAGAGATCCAGAAAATTTTCACAGAATCATGTTTTACATCAACACTTGTTATATTGGTGACAACATGTGGTGGACCTTTAAGTATTAAAGAAATTGTCAACTAAATCTATTTGCAGTTACAAATATAGAAAAACTTTAAGTCATGTATGAACAATAATAAATTATTCAGATTAGTTACATGAATCTAATTAGCTAAATTAACATCTTACCCCTAACACTGATAACAAACTTTAAATCTCTTTTAAATTCACTGGATTCAAAAGTTACTGTAAACTCCCTGTCCATATCAGTTTGATCTAACTTTCTGCGGCTAAAAAATGTGAATTTTGTCATGTAGGGTTTTCCATCATATTTGCTTTCTTTAGTAAACTCGACGTCCTCTGGAATTTTCTCCTGTCTTTTACTGTAAGAAATTTTATCAAAATTGATGTATGTCAGTTTCTTCCCTTGCTGTTTTTCAATCATAGGAGCATTATACAATTTTATTTAGAGAATTAAGCTATATGTTTATAATTAATTAACCAGGACTGAAACACTTTTAAAATAAAACCAAACATACCTTCCTTTGACGTCAGATACAACCCTTTGAACAGTTGGTTCTGGGAAACCTCTGATCACAAAAGAAAAACTGAGAGATTTGGGGATTTCCCAAACATAATTTGGTTTAAGTTCTAAGTCTGGGTAAACACTGGAACTGGTTGGTGGACCTAATTTGAATGAAAATTATCAATAATTTCAATACTCTTTAAAAATGGTTTGTCAAACACTGTTTAGAAATCAAACTTTATCAACACCATATTGTGAGTGGTTTTTTTTTACCATATCAGTTTTCTGATTACAATTTTAATGCTGTAGCTAATTATCTCTTAATTTTAAGCCAAATAATAATGTATCAGTTAATATGACTTAACTACAGCAACATTTGTACGTAGAAAAAATAAATCTTATGGAATTAAAACCCCGGAAATATTATTACAATATAATTATATACAGCTCAAAGTATGGCTACATGTGTTTAACAATTTAACTAGAAAATCTGAGTGCTGGTTGCATATTTAAATAACATGCAATTATTAATTTTTCCGATTGCCAGTACTCACACATGACAGACAACTCCATCCTGCCCTCAACTTGTGTCAAAGAGTTACTTCCCTCACATCTGTACACACCACTGTTCTCACACCTGAGATCATTTATTTTTGCTTTACTGGTGTAGAGATGCTCTAGTATACCTGAACTGGCTGTGTTTAATTGAGGAATGGAGTTGAGTTCAAACACAACTATTTCTTCATCATTAGGAAGAAACCATCTACAGAGGAAAACAGCTTGTTAGTGACTAATACTTATATTAAAGTAACACACTAACTTAAATATTACGGGTCAAGTAGGAAAAGAGCCATGATTTTCAATTTTCTTTTGAAGATTTTAAAAATAATAATTTTGGTATAAAACTATTAATCACAACAAAACTGACAAATTATGTAAGTAGGGCCCTACATAATAAAAATTTAAATTATTTTTTTTTTAAATTAGCTTTTTAGTTAATTCTGATGTAGGCCTACATGTATTCATGCTCAGTTGTAGAATATGACAACGGACACAAAAATTATCTTTTTATATATTATACTTTTTATATAAAGTAATACAATAAATCTAACAGTCATTCTATCAAACACATTTTTATGTCGTAAATAAATACAAAAAGCATTGCTAAAAATATCAAACCTTATATGCGGTTTTGGGTTAGCATCAAATGTACATTGTAGAACAGCTGCTTCTCTTTCCACAATTTTATCACTGCTAATTTGTTTGTCATTTATACTTATTCGAGGGAACTCCAGGTCTGAAAAACAAAATGTATTTGATAGTCTAATTGGATGTGCAAAATGGTGACGTTTTCATATCAATTTAAAAAACTTACACTATTTAAAATAAAATAAAGATCATAATATAAACTCTAAAAAACATAGAGTAACTTACATTGAACATTAAGATTGAAATCTTTTTGAACTAACCCATGAGGGTTTGTCCCCATGCACCGATATACTCCATGACTGGACCGACTCACTCCTAATGTCAAAACTTTAGTGTCTGCTAGTGATGGCATGGGATCAAAGCTAAAAAAAACATGGTAGTTTATTAAAAGAAGAACAATTTTCAACTTATAATTAATGTACAGGTCAAAAGATTATTATATTAATTAAAAACCCTGTTGAATTTACCTTGTTTTGCCATGGGCTTTAAATAACCACTTGACCTCGCAAACAGGATAACAAGAAATAGCACAAGTATAACTGATTTGGTCTCCTATGTTTTTAGAAATCTGGCCATCGCTGGAAACTGATGGTGTTATTGTCATATCAGCTAGAAGGGGCGTATCTAGAAATTAAACAAAACAAACATACCTAAAAGCTATTGTTTACGATTGACTGTAAAAAATGAACAGTTGCAGAACAAGAAATAGTTTGTTGATCTATTTATTTTAAGCCAACACCAAAAGAGGCTGTAAAGAAAGTGCACAGTTCAAAAGTCTTCAAATAAACTTCACCTTATCTTCTAGCCTTTTTCTATTTTCCTAATTTGTAATAGTAATACCTTTTCATTATTTAATAATGTTTTGAAGAATTGTGTGCATATGTGGTTAACATTTTGCTAACATTTAATTGTCCTTGGGAAGAGTTTGCATAGTTCAAGCTTGCTGAAAGATAAACTTGACAGAGGTGATGCAAATTTAAGAACAAAACTAAAGCACCTAATTCTAACACAAAGAATCAACAAAGTGAAGACATTTTGTGATCAGCAAAAATTACAGTGGAGCAGATAACACCAAACCTAAGAAAGTAATGCCTAGCAAGTGTTGACAAAACTCCTCTCAACATCAACTCAAGAGAAGAATCAGCAAGATTAGAATCTATAACAGTTGCATGAAAAAAATCATACCTCACAATTTTTAAAAAAAATGCAGTGACAAAAACTAAAATTGGTAGGCTAATGAAATAAGTGAACAGATGCCTTTGCTTATTAAATATAGGTTGGTTCAAAAAATTACTAAAACAATAGGCACTTTTACTTCAAGTTACAATTATTCATCAAACAAAATTTCTACAAGAAATAATGCAAAAAAATACCCACATTCTGGAATCATTTCATAAACATTGCTTGTAGCTGACTCAAGAAGTTTTTCTTTAGGGAAGTCAATAGTTCCATCAGCAGACTTGCATGAAAATTTTTGGCCTTTATCTGTTCGCTGGACAGAACTGAGTTCCAATTCATTCTTAGCATTAATGTTGATCTGGTGAGAACAATATTATATATGAAGATTCGATACGCATTAGGTTAATAAAATCTTCTTTTTGAAACGATAAAACAAAATTTTATTTTATAAAATTTATTTAAAGAATTATCCAGACGCATTTAGTATATTGATGGTAAAATAGAAAATATATAAACGTGTTTAAAACGAAAAATGTAATGCTACACACTACTGACTAATCTTTATTCTTTAAATTCATCTTTCTAGGCAGGTATAATAAAGATCAAAAATAGATTTTAACAACTTACTCTAGGTTTAGATCCTGAAACTAGGTAAACTCCATTTTGTTCCATCCACCAAACCAGAGTGGGAAGACCATGGTCAGGGGGTAGAGCCAATGAGTTTGTTGTACAAGAGAGTTTAAGTGTTTCACCTTCCAGTGGGCTGGACAATACTGTGATCACTGGGGGATTGGGTTTGCCTGGGAGGAATGAAATAATTTATATACTTTAGTGACATAAATCAAATAAAGGGAACTAACTCTTTCCAGCTACTGCATAAGGGAGATAAAGCATCGTATTAGTATAAAACGTTTGTAGAAATAGTATCACTCTGTGTACATTATATTAGACTAAATGGGTTGAAAAAATAAATTGAAAGGTTGAGGGGGGTGGAAATCGAAAGTTTGAGGGGGGGGGGGGGGTGGAACTCGAAATCTTAAGGGTTGGGGGGTGCAAATAGAAAAGTTTGTCTCTGCTACTAGTTGCAAAAACAAAACATACACAACTCATTTGAGATCTTATAAATGAATAGATGAAATAAATTTTAAGCAATTCAAAGCTTCTACTTCCCCCAATGATGTAGGTCTAATCTTCTCAATTTAGTTAAGCATTTGTTAAGGGCTAACAGTATTCTTGTTGGTTTGGAATTTGTGCAAATATACTTGCCAGATATTGTTAAAAATGGTACTACTTATTGAATACTTAAACATGTTGATTTAAGCAACCTGCGGCTCGCGAGCCGCATGCGGCTCTTTTGATGCTAAGATGCGGCTCTTCAGCTCCATGCACAAATGTTCATAAATATTTTTTTTTTAAACTCATAAAAATATTAATCTGTAACACTCGGCAATGAGTGATATAATAATACATATTACCAATAAACACTTACTATTCTATTAAAATATTTAGTTACTCCCTATTTCAAAATACTTCCTTGTTTTCTAAACGTGAATTACTCAAATGTAAACAGTGCCTGCGCTTGGATCATGTTTATCGGTATAACTACACTACAGCCCATAAAAGCCTTGAGTGCACATTAATAACTCACCGTAATATCACCGTTAATCACTCAACGCCTAAGTGTCGGAGACGGAAAGTCGAATTTCGTGTGCCTCATTATCATCATTGTAGGGTCCTCCTTAAAACTAACATAGGCGTGTAGTACTCGCGGGATAGCCATGGGCGCCAAATTGCACCCCGTAGATTCGTCGGAGGACGCGCCTGATTCGACTTAGTGAGCGACTATAGCAACCCATTGTATCCATAGCCTATCGGGCTGTTTAAAATGAACGTAGCCGCCATGGTGCTCACGGGTACTCCATGTGTCAATCCGCAATCGACTTTTATTTTTATATACCGTATACAGAGAAGAATCGAATCGCGCCCTGCCGGGGAGCCAACCGAATTAGCCTTTATTTCGCAGATACCTCTCAACAACATCCTTAAGCTTCATGGCGGTCGGATGAAAGGTGTAGTCAGTGGCGTCGCTAGGTTGAGTGTCACCCGGTGAGGAAACTCATGGTGTCACCCCCCCCCCACACTTTTGGGGATCGTCATTATGTGCTTAAAATACTTTTTATTTCTTATTAACCATTTATTGAACTGGGAAAAAATATTTATTCTACATATCTGCATTTTTTTTGTCTGGGTGTCACACACCTATATGATGTCACCCCCGGCCCCCGCCTTGCGACTCCTCTGGGTGTAGTAATGAATATAAGACAGACACACACACATTCATTTATATATATATATATATATATATATATATATATATATATATATATATATATATATATATATATATATATATATATATATATATGTGTGTGTGTGTGTGTGTAATATATACCTAATCAAAGATCATAATATTGAAAGCAAAACTGGGAAATTTTGTAATTTTGGCTCTTTCGTCTCAAAAGGTTGCCGGCCCCTGATTTAAGCTCCAAATTTTTGCGTGTGGGCTGTCTAGATTTTGTGTGAAGACTTGTGAAAGTGGCAGGGGGGGGGGGTGTAAAATCATTTGAATTTCTTGATTTCTCTTAGCAGTGGTAAAGCCAGGATCGTCTAATGGGGGGGGGGGGTTCAAATTTTTTGTTCAGCATTATATATATATATATATATATATATATATATATATATATATATATATATATATATATATATATATATATATATATATATATATATATATATATATATATATATATATATATATATATATATGTGTGTGTATATATATATATATATATATATGTGTGTATATATATATATATATATATATATATGTGTGTGTGTGTGTGTATATATATATGTGTATATATGTATATATATATATATATATATATATATATATATATATATATATATATATATATATATATATATATATATATATATATATATATATGTATATACTAGCTGTATGTCATTGCTTCGCTATGATGTAACATAAATTGAAAGTAGTACTCTGAAGAAATAAGATAAACACAATGTAGGCCGTCAACAACAACAAAATGTATCACTCTAAACAAAAACAAAATATACACACAATACGACCAAACAACAATTAACACAATATAATCTGTTTTGTAATCCTTGTAAAAACAATTTTAACATAATGATTCCTAGAATATTAATTAAGACAAGCGAACTAGGTAAAATAATCACTCTCTAACTATAACTACAAATTTAATTGTAAATGTCAAAACAGATCAGTAATTACTTTAGTATGTAATATAGTAGCTTAACACTATTCGTTTTTTACAAAAATATGTTGTCTACAATCAAAATTAAATATATTGTTTTCATAAATGTTAAAATATTACAGCATAATGAAAGTTTTTGAAATCAGAGTTGGTATAAAATCAAACTTTTCTATGTAGACGAAAAACTGAATCTAATAGGTGGAACATTCTGAATAATAATAATCAACTTAATTCACCACTGTCCAGCCACATTAGGTGAATTATCCTACCCAGTGTATACCTAGATGTGACATTAATATAGCTCTACACAATTGTGGTTGTGAGGTGGGCGAAAGGAATAACCAACTCAGAGTAAGCATAGCGTCAGTTTTTAGATGACTGTTCTAAACATACATATACAATTATACATATATACTGATTCAGAAATAGATTTAAATAAGTAAAAGTGTCTACGCCACTGTCTATTAGGGACTACCTCGATAAAGATTTAACAGCAACGAGCTTTGCACATAAATTGAATACAAATTAGGTTTTAATGCGCACAAAAAAACATAGACACACAATGTTAATTTTTCTTAAGACTGTAAAAGTAGACCCTACAGAAAAATTTAATGAGCAGAGAAAAAGACAAAGTGTACTCACGCAAGACAATCAGCATCTGCCCACAGTTATCCAGAGCAACATTACTTGAGCCCTGAAAGCATTTATAGTTGCCAGCATCTTGAGCTCTCACAGATTTTATATTGA